ACCCTATGATATGATAAATTTGTCGAATTCTGATATACTACCCATCAAAAATTTAGACTCACTATATGTTATCATAGCATTACATAAAATATGTGTGTGTGTGCGCGCGTGTGCGTGCGAGAAGCATGTGCAAATATCGCACATGTGAACTGCTACGTTTTGGTGTTCAGTTTTGTTAAGAATACGCCAATTTCACCATTTTGTAACTTGTGACAATAATCTTTTCAACGTTACGAACTTGTTTTACAATACATCAGTTCATGTGTAAATAGTACCTTAAAACAGTATGGAATATTTTGCAAAATCTAGTTTAGAACACAGTTGACTGAAGTAAGTGGCCACATTTACACTAGGGAGTCCATCCTTTTGATGGGTAGTTTTTCTTGTATACATGTGTGTGTATATATATTCAATGACACAAAACGAATTTCATTTCACATATGTATTACTGTACACTGCTGAACTTCACCTCTTATGTCGGAATTGATCTCGGTCAGACCCATGAAAGTCTGGGTTAGAATATACCTTCGGCATCCCATGCTTGTCGTAAGAGGCGACTAACGGGATCGGGTGGTCAGGCTTCTTGACTTGGTTGACACATGTCATCGTATCCCAATGGCGCAGATCGATGTTCATGATGATCACAGGATTGTCTGGTCCAGACCCGTTTTTTTACAGACCACCGCCATAGAGCTGGGATATTGCTAAGAGCGGCGTAAAACAACAATCAATCAATCAAAACATACATGGGAGATTGTTTTGTCGTTTGTATTTATTCACATTTAATGACCATGGGCATTATGCCAGCCATGTCCTCCCTTGTTACTGTTCAGAGTATTGTTTCGAAAGCACACCGGGTTCACACTACGCTTCCTCAATACCCGCTCTTATCAGTGTTCAGTGCATTTAGAGAACGGGCATTATTGAAATAACATTAGCTTTTTCGTGTGACATAAATTCAGTATGATCTCACATACCCAATATCCAGTATAACCTGCCATCGCCCAACCATGATGGCAGCATGACCCAGCCACACCAGACATCCGTCATGCTCCCATCCTGCCAACCAATCCCCATCTGTGGGCCAAGTATGAGGACTGTCACACCAGACATCCGTCATGTTCCCATCCTGCCAACCAATCCCCATCTGTGGCCCAACCATGAGGACAGTCACACCAGACATCCGTCATGCTCCCATCCTGCCAACCAATCCCCATCTGTGGCCCAACCATGAGGGACAGTCACACCAGACATCCGTCATGCTCCCATCCTGCCAACCAATCCCCATCTGTGGGCCAAGTATGAGGACTGTCACACCAGACATCCGTCATGTTCCCATCCTGCCAACCAATCCCCATCTGTGGCCCAACCATGAGGACAGTCACACCAGACATCCATCATGCTCCCATCCTGCCAACCAATCCCCATCTGTTGCCCAACCATGAGGACAGTCACACCAGACATCCGTCATGCTCCCATCCTGCCAACCAATCCCTATCTGTGACACAACCATGAGGACAGTCACACCAGACATCCGTCATGCTCCCATCCTGCCAACCAATCCCCATCTGTGGCCCAACCATGAGGACAGTCACACCAGACATCCGTCATGCTCCCATCCTGCCAACCAATCCCCATCTGTGGCCCAACCATGAGGACAGTCACACCAGACATCCGTCATGCTCCCATCCTGCCAACCAATCCCCATCTGTGACACAACCATGAGGACAGTCACACCAGACATCCGTCATGTTCCCATCCTGCCAACCAATCTCCATCTGTGGCCCAACCACGAGGACCACGAGGACAGTCACACCAGACATCCATCATGCTCCCAACCAGCCACCCAATCCCTATCTGTGTCACAACCATGAGGAAATGGGATGACAGCATGACCAGTCACACCAGACATCCGTCATTCTCCCAACCAGCCACCCAATCCCCATCTGTGACACAACCATGAGGACAGTCACACCAGACATCTGTCATGCTCCCATCCTGCCAACCAATCCCCATCTGTGGCCCAACCATGAGGACAGTCACACCAGACATCCGTCATGCTCCCATCCTGCCAACCAATCCCCATCTGTGGCCCAACCATGAGGACAGTCACACCAGACATCCGTCATGTTCCCATCCTGCCAACCAATCCCCATCTGTGACACAACCATGAGGACAGTCACACCAGACATCTGTCATGTTCCCATCCTGCCAACCAATCCCCATCTGTGGCCCAACCACGAGGACAGTCACACCAGACATCCATCATGCTCCCAACCAGCCACCCAATCCCTATCTGTGACACAACCATGAGGAAATGGGATGACAGCATGACCCAGTCACACCAGACATCCGTCATTCTCCCAACCAGCCACCCAATCCCCATCTGTGACACAACCATGAGGACAGTCACACCAGACATCCGTCATGCTCCCATCCTGCCAACCAATCCCCATCTGTGGCCCAACCATGAGGACAGTCACACCAGACATCCGTCATGCTCCCAACCTGCCAACCAATCCTCATCTGTGATCTGTGACACAACCATGAGGAAATGGGATGGCAGCATGACCAAGTCACAGCAGACATCCGTCATGCTCCCAACCAGCCACCCAATCCCCATCTGTGACACAACCATGAATAAATGAGATGGCAGCATGAGCACACATTGTGATCTCTACTCCCACATGTCATGTACCTGCAAAACTGTTTATCAGTAATTAAACACACAAAGATTGCAAAAAGTTGATAACATTTTATTAATATATTAGAATCCACTGCATATGCTGACGAGGCACATGGTAAGGGGCTCAACTGGGCAAATGATTGGCTGCAGCACTGTCCTCCAGCATATGCAACACACACGCGCTGCCACATAGTGTGGTACTACACACATAGGGTATGCTTCAACGCACATAGAGTATATGTTGTAATACAAGCTCCACAAACATTTAGTAAAGCTCCACAAGCATTTAGCATGTGTTTAACATGATGTGGATTACGGTACACATCAAGGACACACAGTGCTTCCACACACTATAGAATGTAGTGTACAGGCACATATAATGCAGTTGCATATACACAAATTGTGGTGTCGTACAAACAATGTTAAGCCTAAAAGCATGAAAATGTCCTCAGACTTTATCTCGCTATATCCAGAAAATATACTATTCAGCATTTGATAGAGATCCGAGAGTGGGAATCTGAATGCCTGCAGCTGCAGCATTACCAGTTCGATTTTAAATTTAGTAGAGTGAGTGACTTAGATTTTACCCCACTTTTCGCAATATTCAAGCAATATTATGGTGGACACCAGAAATGGACTTCAAACTGGGTTCCCAAGTGGGGAATCGAACCATCGTTAACACGATGGGCAAATGCTTTAACCACAAGCCTACTGCCCCAGTGTCTCAGTCCTTTAGCTACGTGACAGTTTCAAACAGCCAGTATCCCTATCAATTGTTGAATAGTATATACATATGCTTCAAGCATCTGAGTAGTGGTGAAAGCTGCAGTACTAACACACAGTATACTGGTCTGACAAGCTGCAAGACACAGCAATAGTTTATATTGGACTCATCCTTACCAACCAGAGCCATTTCTTTCTCCATGTCGGACCTGCCTTCCACACAGATCTAAGAGTCCTGCTTGTAATGATCAAGACTGACTGACTGAGTTTGGTTTTACGCCACTTTTAGCAATATTCCAGCAACATCACGACTGGGGACACCAGAAATGGGCTTCACACATTGTACCCAAGTCGGGATTCGGCGTCACAAGCCAATGCTTTAACCATTAGGCTACCCCACCGCCCCTGTAATGATCATAAAAATATTTAGATAATGTTATTGTTTATCAGAAGATGATACTTGATCCCATTATGTGATAGACAATCTGATTCTCATATTGACTTCAACAATCTGTAATGATTATCTTCACTAACAACAATTTGCATCCAGGCATTTAGAAAGTGGTCAGATGTAACATGTTATATTTGGGATTACACTTTCTCAGTAAGCCGCAGTTGGCTGAACGGGTTAGACAGCTGACTTTGTGTGCTAGCGATTTGGTGCCTGACTCTGAGGGTGTGGGTTCGAATTCCAGATGGGATTCAACCCCCCAAAAGTACTAGAATCAGTAATTTAATGAGAAAGTGAAATCCCCAATATAAACATATCTTAACTGAGCATCACATTTCTTGATTGACAAACTTGATCCCATCGTATCTATTGACAAGAATCTGCAATTATCATCAAGATTCACCATTTGCATCCCGCTGTCTTGACTGACAGCAACCTGTATCCACACAGTAAAACAGAACAAAACATTAAATTAAAGACATATTTTGGGCAAAGCCCTGGTTTAGTGAAGATTAACATCATAGGAAATTTGAATATATATGTAAACACTAAAAAAAGTAAGCATGCGTTTCCTGATCTACAATATTACCTCCAAATGGATTTGAACCCCGGACCTTCTGATCTGAAGTGGGACGCCTTGTCCACATGACCAAAGCGGTTAACCCAGTTAGCAAGCTGACAAGGTAAGGATGACTCGATGCCCTGCTACATATATGTACCACACTTTGAAGTGGGTTTTATTTGCCTGTTTAATTATTGGTACACATAACAATCAAGTTGACATATTCAATGAACAAAACCTTTAGCGATCGTGACTATTTTGAAGAATATGTTATGAAAATGTGTGAGATAAATTATCCCAAAAATAATTCTGCCCCCTAATATTTATTTTGTTCAGAAATAAAATGTTGATATAAATTGCAACATGACAAGAAGTATTAAAACAAATGCAACATAATTTTATGCATGGTTTTATGGATTTTTTTATCAATATGCTAAATAGATACAGATGTCACATTTGAAGAGATTACTTTCACATGATTAATATGATTAACATTTTAATATGTAAACTATTCAAATATCAATAGAGTACAAAGAAAAATATGTTTAAAACCTAGTTTGAATCAAACACAATATTTAGTGTGTTTTTTTATCTTTTACTTTTGCATAACTCGTGGTAGCTTCATCCTTAAATTCAAGAATATAAAATTGGTTTTATGGGGATGTGAGTGAGTGAGTTTAGTTTTACGCTGCTTTTAGCAATATTCCAGGAATATCACGGCAGGGGAACACCAGAAATGGGCTTCACACATTGTGCCCATGTGGGGAATCGAACCCGGGTCTTCAGCCTGTCGGTCGGATGCCTTAACCACTAGGCTACCCCGCCACCCCTGCGGATGTGAGCAAATCATCAATGTCACTTTATCAAGTCCTTAAACTTAATATTACTGCATCAAAACACAATCTTTAGTCTGTGAAATAATATTTGTTTGTCTTCTAGAGAAATTGAAAACAGGATAAAATATGAAGTCAAAACATATTAAAAAGTATGTCAAAACACAATATGTAGAATGGGTCATGTGACGAAAAAACAGACCATCGTCTTACCTAATAGTCACGTGACCATCTGTTAAACCAACACAGATACAAATCCACAATCTTCTTGACAAAAATCTACAAACGATAAAATTAAATTACCATGACATACAAAACAGTACCGATAATGGTGGGTACAAACTGTTTTTGTTAAATTAATTGTAAACATTTCTGGTACATTAAATAAAATATAATTAAATATTTAATTAATACACGTTACTGGCATCTCATATGTCTTTATAATCACATTGATACTGCGTATTTTGAGCGAAGCAACAGCACACAAAGCTGGGAGCTTAAAGTGCCGACCATTCAAAATTTGGGAAAAAGGGCTGCAATGGTTGGGGTGATTTAATTTCATATTCTTTACATCAGAATATTTTGGGGAAAAATAATTCAGCCTGAAGTTACTTATTTTGAAAAAATATTCCATAACATGGAAAAAATATTCTGTGAAAAAAGAAGAAGTTTGTGTCCATCTCAAAACAAAATTATTTACGACCGAAACACATGCTGATGCCCAAACTCCCCACCCCACGACTATTGTTTGGTCCATCTCTACCTACATAAGTTGAAAGGAGTATTGCAGATCTAACTGATCCTGGATATATATTTAACATGATATAAAATATATGCAATAATAACAACACAAGAATATACATACAACTCATAACAGTAAACATCTTGATGTTGCTCCATCACTGACTAGATCATCCAGCTGTCACATTGTCTCAAGCAAGAGACAAACGTAAGTTAAAGTACTCAGGAAAATAATATCACCCCTCAGAAAAGTCAACTTTCAGATCATGAAGAGGGACATGATTTTAGAAATGTAATGAGAAAATAGCCCCAGTTCAACCAGTAGAAAATGGGTACCCGGTGGGATGTCATTTGACTATTAATCTTGTCACAGCTTTGGGTTAACAGGGCCAGTAATGTCCATTGTGTTGGAAGTGCCTAGAGTATGCCCATGCAGCATAGAATTCAACACAGAATAAGAGGCCTTATCATTATTATATATTTTTCAACTCACAAATTATTGTAGAATGAGTATGGATGTCACAGGGGTGGAAATAACCCATTGCCCAATGCCCCAGTCTAGTGTTTTTTTTCTGTTGGGCAAGCAAATTTGTATGTCCCTCTGTACCGGTGTCCAGTTGACTTTCCAATGTCAATTATGTTGTTCATTTAAACATCAACAAGAAAATCGGCCGGTATAGTGGAGAAATTATCAGGGCAAGTGATTTTACATGTGCCACTGTACCGGAGTACACTAGCAATTTTAAAGTTATTTCCACCCCTGTGTCATGAGTCACCACTACAATGATCCATCCTTAAGATGCTCAGACAATCTGACACGCCATACAGACTTAAATGTATTCATACTTTAATCCTGTAGCATTTCACATAAGACCAGTTGATTCATATTTATTCAGAGATGACAAGGCTTTATGGATGATCAACTTCTTTATTTTGACAATGGCAACGTTTTGGTATAGATTCTTATACCGTTTTCAAGCATAGGATATAAGAATCTATACCGAAACGGTGCCATTGTCAAAATAGAGAAGTTGATCATCCATAAATTCTTGCCATCTCTATACCACCAAGTTCTAGAATGCCACTCAAACAAATCAATTTAATCATTTCAAGGTCAAATCTAAAGTAATTTGTTTGTTAATGACATGAATGATTCAAATTGACACATCAGTACTGTGTGAGACATTTTCATATTAAAACATGAACATAGATATATTCAGTAAATTTTAAACCTTTTTAATAGTTTTTTATGTCCTATGAAAGATAAAAATTGAAAAAACATTGCTGCAAATTAAGTATCACAATACATATGATATCTTGAATAAAGATATATTGTCATACATGTCATGTCAGGGAATACCTGTATCATGCTTCCCAAAGAATGATCATTCGACCCTGCTGAGTTAACTGAAATGTCCAATGTAAATACAATGTGCAAGAGTCATACTAGATAGCACTGAAGAGATTCTGAGGAACAAAAAACAACAATCTGTGGCTGACATCAGTTAAAGTATATCAACTGAGAAGTGGTTTGAAGAATGAACTGTTTGTGTTTTAAATGATTGTGGCTAACTGAAAAACTTCTGCTGAATACTCAATGTTGCAAAGCCAATTCTTTCATATAACTTTGTAATATGTCATTACGAATTGTAACTTGTTATACATTGTACATTAACCACTAATCTTCTCACTGGTATAAACAATGCTAGCCACTGCCGAACCTGCACAGCACCAAGAACAAAGCTTAAAACTAAACTGATACGGAATATATATGATATGTAAAAATATGATATTGGTTTTTTGTACTGATTATATGATAAAAATATATGAATCCTGGTAATGGTGTAAATAAGTAACATCAAAATATATCATTATTGAAGCGGTAAAGCAATGCACCATTTAATATAAGTAAACTACCAAATATAAGGAAATACAGTTGACATACTTGATGTGTCCTTATTATCACCTCTCATTATTTGGTGTAAGTTCATGTCCCTGCAAACTGATTATACACACCCAAGGACCAATAATACAGAAATCCTAGGACCAACAGGAATGGATACCTAGGACAGGACATCCTAGGACCAACAGGAAAGGATACCTAGGGCCAATAGGACTGGACATACTAGGACCAATAGTACAGAAATCCTAGGACCAACAGGAAAGGATACCTAGGGCCAATAGGACAGGACATCCTAGGACCAATAGTACAGAAATCCTAGGACCAACAGGAATGGATACCTAGGACAGGACATCCTAGGACCAATGGTACAGAAATCCTAGGACCAAAAGGAAAGGATACCTAGGACCAATAGGACAGGACATCCTAGGACCAATAGTACAGAAATCCAAGGACCAACAGGAAATGATGCCTAGGACCAATAGGACAGGACCAGTAACAGTAACAGGAATCAGAGGACCACATAGTACAGGACACCAAGTGCCAATGGTATAGGACACCTCAGCACACCTTAGGACCATTAGTACAGGGCACCCTTGGATCAGTAGTATCAGATACCTTCGGACGAATAGTTCAGGGCACTTTAGGACAAATAGTACAGAATTCCTTGGGTCATTGGTTTGAGGCACCCGAGGACCAATAGTACAAGAATGTTGGGACCAATAGTACCGGACACCCTCAGACCAATCATAAAGGACACCCTTGGAACAATAGTACAGTACACGTTGAACCAATTGGGACACCTAGAACACCTAGTGCAGGACACCCTAGGACCACTCAGGACACCTAGGACCAATAGCACAGTACATGCTGCACCAAATGGGACACCTAGTGCAGGACACCCTAGGACCACCCAGGACACCTAGGACCAACAGCACAGTACATGCTGACCACCACAGTACATGTTGCACCAAATGGGACACCTAGAATGAACAGTGCAGAAACCTAGGACCCTAGGACCAGAAAACCCTAGGACCAATAGCTGGGGCACTAATGGTACCAGACAGCCAAGAACATTTGTAAAACAGTAATTCCTAAAAAAATACCCATGATATTTTTTCAAAGATGCTCCACATATTTGATGCTCCACAATTTGAAGGAGTTTTTTTAATGCTTCTGATTGAAGAAATGGTCGAAAGTTCAGCTGATGTGACCAAATAAGACATGCAAGAGCAAACACAACAGCAAACTACAAATTATGCAGATGAGCCACAGGAAAGCACAAGACAAGCACAGAATTGTATAAAATGGAACTTTTTAAACCAAACTGTAAGTGAATTGGGTTTACACTTCTCTGTCAGTGTTCAGTTGCTACCACAGCTACATGCTCCTACCTCAGGTATACACCACATTAAAGCATACAGTACCTGGGCTGTACTTTGTCCGTCTCCTGGAATTTGGAAACGGGGATTTGAACCAGGTGTCATGTGATACTTCCTACTCTGCTATCCCACATCACCTATATGCCTCTCTCTCCCTCACTGTTTGTCTGCATATAGGGAGGTGGACAACACAGCTGGCTTGAGGTCATTTCTCAAAATATTTCCTAAAAATCTGCCATTGGCTGGCTTTGACCGATTCTATCGTACCAATAGTTTGTCGTTTAATGACGCACTCAGCAATATTCCAGCTATATGGTGGCGGTCTGTAAATAATTGAGTCTGGACCGAACAATCCAGTGATCAACATCATGAGCATAGATATATGTATTTTGGATGCGATGTAGTAGATATATAAGTAGGAATACGGAATTTGTATACAAGACATACTCACAGATACCCCATAATGCATCTGTGCCCCACGGATATATACAACAACAATATCACAAGGTTTCAGAATCCATGGCTATGAAAATAAACAGTTCACAAAATACAAGAAACTGTCACAAAATAATCAAACTGTTTTAAGCATGGCATGTTACAAATATACATATACATATACATGTACATAAATATTCTTATATAAAACTTCAACTAAAACATTGTTGCGTATAAATACTAAACATGATTCGCACATAAATACCCAATATTTCTAGCACTTCAGTTGCGACACTGTTTCAAACTGATGAGTCACGTATTTATAATAATATAAATTATCCTTTAAAAAAACGTCAGAGAAAGTTTTCACAATTTGTAAGGCGCATGTGATACAGGGCATGTTGTACACAATGAATTAATCAAACAGTTACCTAGCGACAATAATGTGTTGTCATGGTTACAGAAAAAGTCATTCACTCTATTGACAAGTCACCTTGTACTAGCTTCATGTCCAAGGTGAGCCACATTTATCATGTATCATGATTTCCTCCAAATCACAACTTCCGCCAAATCTCCAGTTCAGTGATAGGATCTTATATATTCCATATGTGAGTAACTGAATGAGTTTGCTTTCCAGTTACATCACAGCTTGTCAAGTGATGCAGGTCGAAGATTGGTTGGTCGGTTGTTGTTTTACGCCACACTCAGCAATATTCATGCTATATGGCGGCGGTCTGTTAATTATCGAGTCTGGACCAGACAATCCTGTGATCAACAGCATGAGCATCAATCTACAATGACATGTGCCAACCAAGTCAGCGAGCCTGACCACCTGATCCCATTAGTCGCCTCTTATGACAAGCATGGGTTACTGAAGATCAATTTTAATCCGGATCTTCACAGGTATGCAGGTCTAAGACATTTGTCACTTTAGTGAAACCCATAAATATTGACATGCTGACAAACCCAGAAACAATCAGGCAAGACAATATTCGAACCCATGATCACAGGGTCCTGGAGTGCCCAAGGGAAGCAACTCTGCACAGCGAATTGCATTAAGTTCTTGGATTATCCCCACTTCTGTCGCATCGTCATGTCTGACATATAGAAACAATTTTCTTATGGAAACATCCTGAAGTAGTGTGGATTAATCCAATGAAATGCTCTTAATATTTTAAGAGCATGATTACTTAACATATCACACTGAAAAGCTCTTACAGTGCAACATCTATCACAATTGCTACACCTTGATTAGCTCAAGACACAATTTCGTAAGCATATAAACTATAATAACACAGGTATATACACAAAAGATGATGTATAAAAAATATCATAATGACAAAATTCTGCATCCTGTCAAACCATTTCATTCTATGTCAAAGAAAACACAAGTCCTTCTGTTGGGCAAACCTGGAGATAGAACCCAAGGCAATCAGCTTTAACAACAGACCTATAAAGAACGTTAAATGAAAACATGAAAAGTTTTGGCACTAACATGACCGTATATCAGATCCGAAAGTAAATAAACTAGCTGATGAAAGAGATTTAAAAGTTCAGAAATCAGTTCCCTTTTGAGAATCAGAGGAGAGTGAAAACATAATATACAATTTTGAAACATCTGGAAGTTTGGTTGGGTTAATTAAATTACCTTAAATCAAATTACTAGGTTATGAGAACAATTTAGTAAAAGAATTCAGGGATATATTCACTGGTTATTTGAGCGGATTTTAATAGATTTTCATTTTCATTAAGGTTTCTGAAATCAAGTTGAGTGAATAATTTGATTTAAAGTAATCAATTTTTTGTTTTTTTCTTTAAAAATATACGGTTTCAACAAAAAAGGGTTTTAATATTGGTCGAATACACCAAAAAGGTAGAGCACCACTAATTCTACTTATATTGATGTGCAATAGCCATTATCCCTTGGTGAACAACATTCGTCTGATAAATGTTCAGTTAGTATCATATGCCAATGGCTTCCGAGACATCTTGGTTCCAAATGATATGATGATACGTCCATCTTGAGAAATATAGTTTTTAATACGTTCTCTACAGGATAACATGCTGTACTGGACATGGATAAAAAAATGCTTTTGATGCTAAATGCTGATATTTCTAATGGATACATGGAAGATTTGGATGATGTACGAAATTAGAAAAGGGATGGTGCCTAGTTTTCTCTCTCCTAAATTTAAGATTCTCCTGATTTTAGTTGAACAAAAAAACATATATAACTTTTTCGCCTAACCTATTAGTTTTCCGTCTGCAGAGAAAAAAACATAAATCTAGTGTCCATATTTTCTGATAAAAGTTGATGTAAAATGAACAAAATACTGCCTTTATATGTTTTGTTTTCAAAGAATAACATGAATATTCGAAGGTTATTTGCCAAATAATTTCTCCAGGACACTTTCACATCAATGTCTGCCCAAGCACTGCCCCCTGGTGGTGAAATGCTGAAACTCAGGGGAAGATAACCCAGTTTATGTTGACATGGAACAATGGAAGCATGAAAATGGACTGACATCAATAGATAATAAGGCCGACTTAGATTCGTGTACATAAATCAATATATAGGGCAGTATCAGCTTAAAACAGTAACTGGGCAAGACCTGCTTGAAAATCACCTGTAACAACGTGATTCCCAGTGACTTGTAGGTCCTTTTTGTAAATGTGTATTCGTTAAGATTGTAAACTGAAAATATGTCAAGATACGTGGATAGCCTACTGCATAGTCCATTCACAGAACAAACCAGTTGCATATTTCTGGTGTCAGTGTTTCCGTGACAATCTGTAAACCGTGTTCCATGGCAACGTGTTACCACTTGTTACTTCAATGGTGGGGCCACCTGCAAAGAGAATAAAAACGTTTACAAATATGGGAATAGTCACGTCAAAATAGTGAGGACTGACTGACAGAAGATAAGAGAATAGAGGGGAGAAGAGGAGAATAGAGGGGAGAAGAGAGAAGAGGAGAGGAGAGAATAGAGCAGGGAATAGAGAAGAGGAGAGGAGAATAGAGAAGAGAAGAGGAGAATAGAGGGGAGAAGAGACTGACTGACTGACTGAGTTTGGGTTTACGCCGCTTTTAGCAATATTCCAGCAACTTCACGGCGGGGGACACCAGAAATGGGCCTCACACATTGTACCCATGTGGGGATTCGAACCCAACGTTTTAACCATTAGGCTACCCCACCGCCCGGGGAGAAGAGAGAAGAGGAGAGGAGAATAGAGCAGGGAAAAGAAAAGAGGAGAGGAGAATAGAAAAGAGGAGAGGAGAGAAAAGAGAAGAAAAGCGAGTAGAGAAGACTGGAGAGAATAGAGGAGAGAAGAGGAGAGAAGAGAAGAGGAGTGAGTGAGTGAGTGAGTTTAGTTTTACACCGCTTTTAGCAATATTCCAGCAATATCACGGCAGGGGTCACCAGAAATGGGCTTCACACAATATACCCATGTGGGGAATCGAACCCAGGTCTTCTGCGTGACGAGCGAACGCTTTAACCACTGGGCTACCCTACCGCCCCAGAAGAAGAGAGGAGAGAAGAGGAGAGGAGAATAGAGCAGGGAATATAGAAGAGGTGAGGAGAATAGAGAAGAGGAAAGGAGAGAAAAGAGAAGAAAAGAGAGAAGAAGAGAGAGAAGAGAAGACTGGAGAGAATAGAGGAGAGGAAAGAAGAGAGGAGAGAAGAGGAGAAGAGTGAGTGAGTGAGTGAGTTTAGTTTTACGCCACACTCAGCAATATTCCAGCTATATGGCGGTGGTCTGTAAATAATCGAGTCTGGACCAGAAAATCCAGTGATCAACAGCATGAGCATCGATCTGTGCAATTGGGAACCGATGACATGTGTCAACCAAGTCAGTGAGTCTGACCACCCGATCCCGTTAGTCGCCTCTTACGACAAGCATGGGTTACTGAAGATCAATTCTAACCCGGAATCTCACTGGTCGGAGAAGAGAGAAGAGAGGAAAGACGAAAAGAGCAGAGGAGAGCAGAAGAGGAGAGGAGACAGAAGAGAAGACAGAGGAGAGGAGAATAGAGAAGAGAGGAGAATAGAGAGGAGAATAGAGAAGAGAAGAGAAGAGAAGACGAGATAAGAGAAGAAAAGAGAGGAGAAGAAAAAGAAGAGAAGAGAAGTCACTTCTAAATCACTCTGATTCAGCCCAACAAACAGCATTGGTCAAGCCTCGCACTCGAAGTTGTACAATGCCTCATTTCCTTAGGTGTATATATATAAATTTTGCTTCCATTTTGTTTTGAATTTAATCTCCTTTCAAACCCATTTTCTGAGAAAACATGCTAGTATGGGGGATTGTGTACAAGCAACTAACTGGAGTGGGACAGACAGAATCACTTTTAATTGTCCAGACTTTTCAAGAAGTTATGAAAGTCCATTGACATGTGTTCATAAACACATATTTGTTGTCAAAAGACATGCAAGTGCGATTCTATTTATCATGCAACCTAATTTTCTCAGCTTGACGGTAAGTATCAGTGTCAAATGTATAAAACGGTTCAGCTAATCAGTTTCAGTGGCAAAAACATCCATGTCTAATTGTTTTGTCATGGAAACCAACGACATTGCAACTGTTTACAAAATCTGTGCTATCTCATATTTTCAGACGTAGTCCATATGTCAGACTTCTGGAGCAGGGTGATCTCCAGGTTGAGGTGTGGACAGTTCCTGGAGTGTCCTCTCTAGGATGATCACACCTTTATAAAAACACATCTGTAGTAACCATAGTAACGCTGGCTGTCACCTCAAACTGAAATATTGGAATCTTGTTTCACAGGATATATTTTGTTATCTGACTGACATTCTGTTGACATATTTACAATGTTTTGATTGAATTCCGTTTGACATGATTAGTTTTCAGTTGGGAAGTCTAATTGCTTGAAATCAGTTTGACACGGTTATAGTCAACGTGGCAGTCTAATTGTTTGAGTACAATTAGACAAGATTATTTTTCAGTTGGGAAGTCTAATTGCCTGAATTCAGTTTGACACGGTTATAGTCAACGTGGCAGTCTAATTGTTTGAGTACAATTAGAAAAGATTATTTTTGTCAGTTGGAAGTCTAATTGCCTGAATTCAGTTTGACATGGTTATAGATAACGTGGCAGTATAATTGTTTGAGTACAATTAGACAAGATTATTTTTCAGTTGGGAAGTCTGACTGCCTGAATTCAGTTTGACACGGTTATAGTCAATCGAGAAGTCCAGCTGCTTCTGTTAAATTTTTTAAATATGTAGACTCAGGTGAGACGATGTTTGAAATGCTGGAGAGGTGTTTGGACTGAAATCTTCCCATGTCATCACACTACCAGTACCACTGGACCACATGCTGCATGTTGGACCTCTTAAAGAATTGCAAGAACATTTCAACTTCAGAAGTAGTAGTGAACAAGCAAGGTTTCAACTGATTTCATCAAGGGAGCTTCAAACTAGGGACCGCCTCCGTGGTGTAGTGGTTAGAGCATCTGCCCGGAGAGGATCCCCGACCGCATCATACCAAAAGACGTTAAAATATGGTACTTGTTGGTCCCTGCCTGGTGCTAGGCATTAATGGGTACAACAAGGACTGGTCGGCTCTGAGTCAGTATAATGTGTCTGAGTGGGGTATTCATGCTTCACTGCGGCATGGTATCTCAGTGGGCTAGCACTATAAAACCGCTTCAGTCTGGGCTAGTACAAGCAGCCTGCACATACACATACACACGCATGCACGTCGTCATATGAGCGAAATATTCTCAAGAACAACTTTAAACCCAATTTCACCTCACCTAAAATTAGGATGCTTGACTCTAGACTCATGAAGGTTTGAGCTATATAAAGGGAACATTTAAACAAAATTAAACTAAAATGGACAACTTCCTCTGTGGAAGGTTTAAACTATGATGGTTGACTATATAAAGGGAACATTTAAACTAAAATGGACAACTTCCTCTGTGGAAGGTTTAAACTATGATGATTGACTATATAAAGGGAACATTTAAACTAAAATGGACAACTTCCTCTATGGAAGGTTTAAACTATGATGATTGACTATATAAAGGGAACATTTAAACTGGGTGAGTGAGTGAGTGAGTGAGTGAGTGAGTGAGTGAGTGTGAGTGAGTGAGTGAGTGAGAACATTTTTTACGTCACAAGGGTGTGGTAACCACGAAGTGTATTGCGACTTACCACACACAGCTGTCCATTCTTGCCCTTTTTGATGCTGTAGATCTGGCCCTTGGTGAACTCTATACAGCCCTGCTTACCACTGGCTAGGTCATGGTTGATGCTGGAAAACAGACAGGGGTATCAACACTAGCTAGACAGACAGTGGTATCAACACTAGCTAGACAGACAGGGGTATCAACACTAGCTTGACAGACAGGGGTGTCAAAACTAGCTTGACAGACAGGGGTATCAACACTAGCTTGACAGACAGGGATATCAACACTAGCGTGACAGACAGTGGTATCAACACGGGATATCAACACTAGCTTGACAGACAGGGATATCAACACTAGCTTGACAGACAGGGATATCAACACTAGCTTGACAGACAGGGATATCAACACTAGCTTGACAGACAGGGATATCAACACTAGCTTGACAGACAGGGGTATCAACACTAGCTTGACAGACAGGGGTATCAACACTAGCTGGACAGACAGGGGTATCAACACTAGCTTGACAGACAGGGATATCAACACTAGCTTGACAGACAGGGATATCAACACTAGCTTGACAGACAGGGATATCAACACTAGCTTGACAGACAGGGATATCAACACTAGCTGGACAGACAGGGATATCAACACTAGCTGGACAGACAGGGATATCAACACTAGCTTGACAGACAGGGATATCAACACTAGCTTGACAGACAGGGATATCAACACTAGCTTGACAGACAGGGGTATCAACACTAGCTAGACAGACAGGGGTATCAACACTAGCTTGACAGACAGGGATATCAACACTAGCTTGACAGACAGGGGTATCAACACTAGCTTGACAGACAGGGGTATCAACACTGGGTTGACAGACAGGGATATCAACACTGGCTTGACAGACAGGGATATCAACACTAGCTGGACAGACGGGGGTATCAACACTAGCTTGACAGACAGGGATATCAACACTAGCTTGACAGACAGGGGTATCAACACTGGCTTGACAGACAGGGATATCAACACTGGCTTGACAGACAGGGATATCAACACTAGCTGGACAGACAGGGATATCAACACTAGCTTGACAGACAGGGATATCAACACTAGCAGGACAGACAGGGATATCAACACTAGCTTTACAGACGGGGGTATCAACACTAGCTAGACAGACAGGGGTATCAACACGGGATATCAACACTAGCTTGACAGACAGGGATATCAACACTAGCTTGACAGACAGGGGTATCAACACTGGCTTGACAGACAGGGATATCAACACTGGCTTGACAGACAGGGATATCAACACTAGCTGGACAGACAGGGATATCAACACTAGCAGGACAGACAGGGATATCAACACTAGCTTTACAGACGGGGGTATCAACACTAGCTAGACAGACAGGGGTATCAAAACAAGCTAGACAGACAGGGGTATCAACACTAGCTGAACAGACAGGGGTATCAACACTAGCTAGACAGACAGGGGTATCAACACTAGACAATATAACTGGGGTATCAACACTAGATAATCTTACAGGGGCATCAACACTAGACAATCTAACAGGGGTATCAACACTAGACAATCTAACAGGGGTATCAACACTAGATAATCTTACAGGGGTATCAACACTAGACAATCTAACAGGGGTATCAACACTAGACAATCTAACAGGGGTATCAACACTAGATAATCTAACAGGGGTATCAACACTAGATGATCTAATAGGGGTATCAACACTAGATAATCTAATAGGGGTATCAACACTAGACAATCTAACAGGGGTATCAACACTAGACAATCTAACAGGGGTATCAACACTAGATAATCTAATAGGGGTATCAACACTAGACAATCTAACAGGGGTATCAACACTAGACAATCTAACAGGGGTATCAACACTAGACAATCTAATAGGGGTATCAACACTAGATAATCTAATAGGGGTATCAACACTAGACAATCTAACAGGGGTATCAACACTAGATAATCTAATAGGGGTATCAACACTAGACAATCTAACAGGGGTATCAACACTAGATAATCTAACAGGGGTATCAACACTAGATAATCTAACAGGGGTATCAACACTAGATAATCTAACAGGGGTATCAACACTAGATAATCTAACAGGGGTATCAACACTAGATAATCTAACAAGGGTATCAACAATAGACAATCTAACCGAAACCATGAGATACAAGGGGCTGACAGCATGACGACATACAGCAACAAGCTCACATTTTGTTTACCTTCAATTCACCTTTTACATATTTCATAACGAAGTGAGTGGTATTAGAATTATTTCATCAATATCATGATGGTGGACCCCATAAATGTGTTTCACTTATTGTATCCATGTGGGGAATCAAACCTTGGAGTTTGCATGATATGTGAACACTTTAACTACATGGCCACCCGACTGCCATTCACACCAAGCAATGGGGGATGGGGTACAACCCATTGCAAGAAGATACAGCTGCATCTTGCACAGTTACCTCTCAACAGACTAGTCAAATCATTTCTCTAACCACACAATGCGTGACAAAGGGAGGATTCGCAGATAATCAAGAAACAGTCTCACCTTCCCTCTGTGGCGACCTTGACAACGTCCGTCTTGTTGCCAGACATAGCAATCTTGGTGATGGCCTCAATAGCATAGTCACTCTGCAGTATCAGATCCCCCTAAAAAAACAGGCATATTGAACAAAACAGGCATATTGAAGAAAGGTCCTGCCACAGGTAACCCAGTTTAATGGATCTGTCACAGCATCACTGAAGCAGATTCTCAAAATGTATTTGTTTGATTGTTGCCAAACACCGCACTCAGCAATATTCCTGCTGTATGGCGGCAATCTGTTAATAATTCTTGGAATTGAGTTCCTTCATTGTTTCTGTCACTCTTGAACTTATCCAGAAATTTTAAAATATAAGTAAATAATTGGGTCGGGACCACATAACCTTGTGATCGATATTGTGAGCTACTACTCAGGGGGTCTCATGATCAAGTCACAAAGCCAAATCACCTGATCTATTCAATATTTACATCAACTCTTACAAAAAGTAAAACTGGAGATCAGAATCTTTTTGTTTTATTTGTTGTTTTTTCAAAAGGTGGCATCAGAACAGTTGTGGGGCGAGACCGGAGTAAATGATCAGGGCAAATTTGGGATTCAAACTCAGAACACCAGATCCTGATACAGGTAAGGAACATAACTCAACACAACAAAATTGTGGCATCACAGACCACTGCACCACCTAGCTTGGAGAAAGAAGTTTACAGAGGCTGAGAAACAATGAATTGAGTGAGTTTGGTTTTACGCCGCTTTTAGCAATATTCCAGCAACATCACGGCGGGGGACACCAGAAATGGGCTTCACACAATGTACCCATGTGGGGATTCGAACCCGGGTCTTCGGCGTGACGAGCCAACGCTTTAACCACTAGGCTACCCCACCGCCCCTGTGGGGAATAGAACCCGGGTTTTCAGCGTGATGAGTGGACACCTTAACTATTAGGAACAATGAATTGAGCCAATGAGATTAGTTCCAGCTTCAGTGATGCTCGGACACATTCATTGTAATTGTCTAAATGGTTTGGAAGCCATGATACACAGCAGCAGGTATAAGCTCTATATCGTTTATACACTGATATGGTGTTCAAGGTTGAGAGGCAGTAATATACAGCAGATGATACATGCTCTAAATGTTATATACACTGTAATAAAGTGTTAATGTTAATTTGTTCCTATCACAGAAACTACCATAAACTGGTTAAAAAGCTCAGTATATAGATGATTAATTGTAAGAATGTTAATTGAAAATCTGCTCACATGCATATAGGAAGCTAGCAATGTCAATGTTCGTTTGTTTGTCTAATTCTGTACAGCTAATCCATCTTCCAGCTGACCTGTGAAGATCCGGGTTAGAACTGATCTTCAGCAACCCATGCTTGTCGTAACAGGCGAATAACGGGATCGGGTGGTCAGGCTCGCTGACACATGTCACATATCCCAACTGCATAGATCGATGCTCATGCTGTTGATCACTGCATTGTTTGGTCCAGACTCAGCTATTTACAGACCTATGCCATATAACTGGAACACTGCTGAGTGTGGCATTAAAAAACCAACCAACCATATTCCAGCTGTAAACCAGCAATCTGTACAATATTTAAACCAGATGATCGACAGTATAAGCATTGATCAGTTGGGTCACGATGACATGTATCAACCCGGGCGCTGAGCCTTACCATCTATTTCCCTTGCTTGCTTGCCTCTCACGGACATGCAAAGACCCATTTTGACCCAGAATCTGAAGATGGCTATCTTGACTACCTATGTGTCTAAAAAAGCTACTTAGAAATAATAACATGCATTCAATGATAACTATAATACTTATATCAACATGACTAGATCAGCATTTTCTTGTAGAAAATGTTCAAGATCATGAGATAAGACAGAAACTGAAAACTGATTCGTCTCTGGGATGAAGAAAGAACAACACTGAAACATGACAACATGCAGGAACTAAGGGTGTCACTATACTGGGACGGGGGCAATCGGTGTCCAGTAACCAAATTCTACACATTGAACCATGTTTTTCTTTGTTGGCTTCTTGTTTAATCCCAAAACTCAACTGGCATGAGGAGAGAGGTGTGAGGAGAGGTGTGAGGAGAGTAGTGAGGACAGATGTGAGGAGAGTAGTGAGGAAAGTAGTGAGGACAGATGTGAGAACAGGTTTGGGGACAAGTATGAGGTGAGGTGAAATTGGGTTTAACGTTGTGCTTGAGAATATTTCGCTCATATGATGACGTGCATGCATCTGTATGTGTATGTGCAGCTGCTTGTACTAGCCCAGACTTAAGCTGGTTTTATAGTGCTAGCTCACCGAGATACCATGCCACAGTGAAGCATGAATACCCCACTCAGACACATTATACTGACTCCGAGCCGACCAGTCCTTGTTGTACCCATTAATGCAGAGCTCCAGGCAGGGATCAACAAGTGCCATATTTTAAGGTCGTTTGGTATGACGCGGTCGGGGTTCGAACCCGCGACCTTCCGCTCTCCGGGCGGATGCTCTAACCACTACACCATGGAGGCGGTCCGGGACAAGTATGAGGACAGGTATAAGCACATGTGAATGGAGGTGTTAGGAGAAGTATGAGGGAACATGTATGAGGGGAGGTGTAAGGAGTGAGTGAGTGAGTGAGTTTAGTTTTACGCCGCACTCAGCAATATTCCAGCTATATGGTGGCAGTCTGTAAATAAGCGAGTCTGGACCAGACAATCCAGTGATCAACAGCATGAGCATCAGCCTGCGCAATTGGGAACCGATGATGTGTCAACCAAGCCAGCAAGCCTGACCACCCGAGTCGCCTCTTACGACCAGCATGGGTTACTGAAGGTTCATTCTAACCCGGACCTTCACGGGTGGGGTGAGGTGAGGTGAAATTGGGTTTAACGTTGTGCTTGAGAATATTTCGCTCATATGACGACGTGCATGCGTGTGTATGTGTATGTGTATGTGCGGCTGCTTGTACTAGCCCAGACTTAAGCTGGTTTTATAGTGCTAGCTCACTGAGATACCATGCCGCAGTGAAGCATGAATACCCCACTCAGACAAGTATACTGACTCCGAGCCGACCAGTCCTTGTTGTACCCATTAATGCTGAGCGCCAGGCAGGGACCAACAAGTACCATATTTTAACGTCTTTTGGTATGACGCGGTCGGCTTCACGGGTGGGAGGAATAAGGGCAGGTATAAGGACAGGTATGAGGGGAGGTGTTAGGAGAAGTATGAGGACAGGTGTGAGACAGGTAAGAGGACAGAGAGGGACGAGATGTGGTTCAAGGGAAGGAATGAAGTAAAAAGAAAGGACAAGTGTGAGGACAGGTAGTAAGAGATGAGGTTCAAGGCAATGTTTGAGGTACAAGGGCATGCGAAGGGACAGAAGAAAGAACAGGTATGAATACAGGTGAGACAACGAGCAAGGACAGGTGACCGATGCGTGAGGAATACATGGAAACATGATGAAATAAGCAGAAGCAAAGCAGGTCCACAAGCAAGCTACAACATAAAGCAGTTGAATAACATGACACCTTCCCAGACAGGTAAATACAAGCAGGTAAACTAATAGGAAAAGCCACAGTGTAAACAGGCAAAGCATAGGTCAAAATGTTGCAGATGATGAAAGCTAATCTATACATTTCATGCAAACATGAAGCATTAGATGAAAATTTTCAACATTTCATATATCCAAACCAAAATAAAAAATGTAACAGTATTTGTGAAAGTACCCAAACTGTCGCCATTGAAGTAAACAACAGTGGCATTGTACAAAGATGCAGAAACTTAATGTAGAAACTACAAACTAAAATTCCATCTAAACACTGATATAGCAGCAGTTCATTCCAGCATGTAATCTAGGCCTCCATGTCTTTCAATGGCCGTTCTCCATGCAACACTAGTCCAACAATATCGCTGCTCAAACCTTGTGGGCCTCCGTGTCATCATCCTCCGGTTCACACTTAGAGGACATAAATATGGAAGTTGTCAACGTCCGAAGAAAAAATGACATCATATTTTCTACAAAACACTATAGTCCTGCCTTAGATGAGGTGGTAATTCGGCAAGGGAGATAACTATGTTGATAAGTACCATATTCTATCTCACACTGTAATTTAACTGTACTATTGTCCTACCTTTGATAATATGGTAATATGGCAAGGGAGATAACTGTCAATAAGTACCATATTCTATCTCACACTGTAATTTAACTGTACTATTGTCCTACCTTTGATATGGTAATATGGCAAGGGAGATAACTGTCAATAAGTACCATATTCTATCTCACACTGTAATATTATCATACTATTGTCATATCGTAAATGTTAATATGGCAAGGGAGATAACTGTCAATAAGTACCATATTCTATCTCACACTGTAATATTATCATACTATTGTCATATCGTAAATGTTAATATGGCAAGGGAGATAACTATGTGGTTAAGAACTATATTCTATCTCACACTGTAATATCCCGTACTATTGTCCTGTCTTAGATGACATGGTAATATGGCATGGGAAATAACAATATCGATAAGTACCATATTTCATCACACTGTAACATTACTCTACTGTTGTCCTACCTTAGATGAAATGGTAATGTTACAAGGGAGATAACTATGTGGTTAAGTACCATATTCCATCTCAGATTGTACTAATATCACTATCATGACCCAAAACAGAATGTGCGCCATGGAACAAGCACACCAATATCATGTGTTTTGAGTGAATTGAATCTAACTATCATTATTTCCTGGTGTAAATTCCTGGTTCTCAAGCAGAAATCAGAAACATTACAACAAACACGTAAATTTGATTCTTCCTGATGTCATATATAGTTAGTCCTAACCTGTACTGGGGCGGTGGGGTAGTGTAGTGGTTAAAGCGTTGGCTCGTCACGCCATAGACCCGGGTTCGAATCCCACATGGGCACAATGTGTGAAGCCCATTTCTGGTGTCCCCTGCCGTGATATAGCTGGAATATTGCTAAAAGCGGCGTAAAACCAAACTCAGTCAGCATAACCTGTACTGTTACAAGTCAGTACTGAACAATTACATAGATATATAAAATATGTACACAAAGGAAAGGCATAACCCTTAACAAAATAATACACAAGTTGGCACTTGTAAACTGTATGAATGAGTGAGTTTTGTTTTACGCCACTTTTAGCAATATTCAGCAATATCACAGCAGGGGACACCAGAAACGGGCTTCACACATTGTACCCATGTGGAGAATTGAACCCGGGTCTTCCGTGTGATGAGCGAAGGCTTTAACCACTAGGTTACCCCACCGCCCCGTATAGTGTATGAACAATGGTCACTATGTATGATGCTACAGCTGTATGAAGTGCAACAAGACATGGGCTGGATATCTATAGGTACAGCAAGATCACACAGGACGAGAGGCACGCCTAGACAGTAACCATCATCACAGATCTATCCTACTGTTGGATACAGAACAAGAAACAATAGCTTGTCAGAGATTGAAGTAAACAGTTCAAGGAAGGCAGTATTCTATATCAAGATGCAATACTTCAAGGATCTCATTAATTCTATATCAAAACGCAATTCTTCTTGGATGCAATGAATTCTTTATCAAGATGCAGTTCTTCAAGGATTTCATTAAATTCTGTATCAACACACAATTCTTCAAGGATGTTATTAATTCTACATCAAGATGCAATTCTTCAAAGATGCCATGATTCTACATCATGATGCAGTTTTCAAGGATCTCATTACAGAACCGTAACCTAAATTCGTGGATAACCTTGATTCGTGGATCGCAGTAATTATCATGCTACCTCGTTAATTAAGTCTCGTATGACGTCACGAAGTGGTACTTTTTATGTATGTACAATGCTACTCCTCGCTGACCAAAATGTTCCGAATGTCTGCGTTACACGTAAATACACTAAATCTAATTGTCAAGCACTGAGATAAAGAGCCCAAGATCACCAATGCCAAATACCAAATTTATTTGTACAAAATGTCAAGTAAAAAAGATACTGTTATCACCAACCTTCTCACATCTCGTCGTCATGCTTTCCTAGCTGTCAATACTTACTGCAATGGGCTGTCATACATAGTGATATATTGTAAATGACTACGTAATCCACAAAACAAGGTGACGTCACATTTTGTGGGCACACGAATGGGTGATGATTGCAAATGGCTTTGGTAAACAAACATTTCATCCACAAGTGGAAGATTAGGCATTTTCAATTTGCTGAATAAATGAATAAAATAATCAGTGAGTATACAAAATGAAACCATGCATTTAAAATATGATTTTCGCTGCACTTCCCTTATATCCACGAATCAAGGTTACGCGAGTGTAATTCTATATCAAGATGCGGTTCTTCATTGACGTCTGTTTTCTATATCAAGATATATCAAGACTGTAAAAATATCTTAAGAAATAAATAGTTCCAAATTTTATCTCAAGGAGGACAAATTTGCTGTACCTTTGACCCATTCTCTGCTAGTGAGACGACCACCACAAACAAGCCATCAGTGTAGGGGCTAGCCAGGATTCCTGCAACAGAAACAAACAAATTGACCTTCCGATAAACAAACTCTACATTTTTGTGTGAATAATGCCCACTTTTATCCAAAACACCAGCTGTGTAAAGGGGTGTGATACATGACGATAATTAGTTTCTTTAAATTAAAGAACAATAACTGCCAAAATATGATACTGGAAACAGCCAGTGATGATGTTAAATGTATGGTTCTATGTTGGTAACCCATTTAATTAATCTTACTTAAAATTACTTTCAAATATACACTGATGTTTTGACCACGTTCAAACGTGACATAAAACGATGTAGTGTCTGCAAGTTTTATAATGCTAATCCACTGAGATATCATGCCATGGTTTAAACTTGGTATGCTACTCCGAAACTTTAACTCTCTTTGGGGGGTAGCCTAGTAGTGAAAATGTTCCACATCACACTGAAGACCCGGGTTTGATTCCCCACATGGGTACAATGTGTGAAGCCCATTTCTAATGTCCCCGCCATGATATTCTTGAATATTGCTAAAAGAGGCATAAAACCAACCACATGTATCTCTCTTGACAGACAATCCATCCAACAGACCTCTAGATCCACAAAGGATGGTCTCTCTGTTGGAGAGTTAAGTATGCATTAACGGAGTGTGTATATGCATCAGTTGTTACTGCAAGCCAGGATAATGACTGACTGACTGACTGACTATGGTTCTATCGCTTTTAGCAATATTCCAGCAATATCACAGCAGGGGACACCAGCAATGGTCTTCGCACATTGTTCCCATGTGGATAATTGAACCCGGCTCTTCAGCATGACGAGTGAAAGCTTTAACCACTAGACTACCCCCCGCCCGCCTAATGGCTTCCTCACCTGTTATTTGTGAGTAGGAGAGTTTGTCCTTCACCTTGAAATCTTTCTCGTTAAGAACGTAAACATTCTTATCTGTGACAATGAGGATTCTTGCCCGCTGTTTGTAACCATGACGATCATACTTGCTGACTGCTGCACAATACTGGAATAAGTATCAAAGTAAGTATGATTATTCCACATTCCTGGAACCACAGACTTCTATGAAACTAAAGACACAATTTCACTGGCAATGGTACTAGTTGAAAATTTTCCAGAAATCTTAAGAATAATTCTCTTTTCAAGTTTCAGAGTACATGTAACATAATATTAATAATAATAATACAGTAGATTTGTTATGCGCCAAAACTCCAGGCACTTGGTGTCTGCTCATGGCGCTACACAAAATTAAAAAAACACTGCAGTAGAGGTGCTATATTGTCACTGGTATATCAATCCTTATAGAACTTTTGGAAGAGATGAGTCTTTATGCAGCTTTTAAAGTTTGTCAATGATGGGGATTTCTTTATTCCCAAGGGAAGATCGTTCCACAGAGTTGGGGCCATGTAAGCAAATAATCTCTGTCCATACTTTTTGAGGCGGGATTTGGGTACTTTTAGAAGTAACTGATCAGCAGATCTTAGTGTCCGAGAAGGTTCATATTTCTCAATCAATTCTGTCAGATAGGCAGGAGCTGTTTGATTGACACATTTATATGTCAATGTAAGAATCTTGTATTGGACTCGACATGTGAGAATATGTGAAATGCAGAAATAAGAAGCATTCAGGCCTGGATTGTTTAAACAGTAATCTCAGCCACCTACCCTGACCGTCTCGTTTGGCTGCTTCACATTGATGTCGAACATGCCGCTCTTCAGGGACTCATGGTGGGCGGCTGAAAGAAGCAAAATTGATCAAAACATACTTTTCCAAGACAAATCACAAATCAGAAGGGCTTGTGCAACAGACTGACTGAGTTTTGGTTTTACGTCGCTTTTAGCAATATTCCAGCAACATCACGCCAGGAGACAACAGAAATGGGCTTCACATATTATACCAGGAGACAACAGAAATGGGCTTTACATATTATACCCATGTGGGGAATCGAACCTGGGTCTTCGGCGTGACGAGCGAACGCTTTACCCACTAGGCTACCCCACCACCGTTTCTTTTGGAACCATAACACATATAGGCAACATATCTTACCAAGCCGGCTGTCAATAAACGGGTCCTTTACACTGAAGGGGTAGGACTCTTTCTTTCCCTTGAACAACTTCTCCGCTACCACCTTCTGCTGGAACTAAAGATTCAAGTTTTCATCAATATGGGTTATCATTGAAAGATAACATACACAGACACCATGGCAAGTTTCTTAGAAAAACTCCAAAGAAGACTAAAATGCCTCCTGCCTCACAGTTTATGAAAATGTAGATGATTGATTGATTGTTGTTTAACAGCCGCACTCAGCAATATTCCAGCTATATGGCGCCAGTCTGTAAATAATCGAGTCTGGACCAGACAATCCAGTGATCAACATCATGAGCATCAAAACATGGATGAAAATCTAATGACTTATTTCTCTACAATTGTTTATTGCCAAGTTTCCAACCATAAGACTGCAATATCGGAATCTGGATCTGATAATCCAGTGATTGATATTGTAAGCATTGATTCATGCTATCAGGGCACAATGACATTCAACCAACAGTGATTATACAGCATTTATACTGGGTGACTTTTATGAGCATATTTGAACAAAAATATCATGATCTTGTCAAAACTTGGATTATTTCTAACATTCTTATTTTCATACATTCGGAGAAATTTTAATTCAAATTGGACATTTTTGCGGTCATTTTCTGCAGATTTTGGGACGAATATCTGTATCTGAGCTGGCTGAGATAACATCCCTGACCAAGTCCATGAAACTGACCACCCGATCAAATAACTTGTCTCTTTCATGGACCATGGGTTCGCTTCATCATGGCAAACTGAACGTACAGATGATCGTAAGTCCCATACTCCAACACTTAATTATGGCAGCTTTAGAGCTACGATCGCTTTGTCAATGGACCCTTGGTGAGAAATACTTACCCAGCATCCCATGTGTGGGAGTATGTGGTAGCGTATTATATCCCAGGGTCCTCATTCACAAAGCGTTCGTAGTGTTATGACTTATCTTAACATTGCAACCTATCGTAACTCAATACTTTATCACAGGCTAACGAGTGTGGATACGTCCAGGATGCACTGCAAGTCTAGTTACCTGGAACTTCCTCTCCGCTGAGATTCTCTTCACATACTTGAGGACCATGTTCCTCATGTATAGCTTGTTCAGGATTTCTGATGTCTAAAAGAAACAGAACATGTACATAGGTGGATCCAGAGGGGGGTGCAGGGGTGCGCTCCCCACTTTTGTCCAGAAAGTTTAATAAATGACCATTGAAACTCTAGTGAAAACGGGTGAAAATTAACTGTGCACGCCACCATTTTCAAAAAGTTGTATCCACCCATGATGTAACTTTATCATAAAGACCTGATACTTTCGAGTAAGAAAAGGAAGAAAATATCAGGTCTTGAAAAAGATCGCACATCAATTAACCCTACCATAAAATATATTTATCAGGCACGTGGGCACTGCCCCCCTCCCCCTCTTATCATTGTTGCAGTGATTATTAACTTTTTTAATAAATTTAATAAATTTCAAATTTTAAATAGAACTAAAAGCGGACAACTAACATCATACAGGGACTTTTCAAATGAAGCTGACCATATATCACATTTACATTCTTTGAAAAAGTTTAATACATTTATACACAATTTGACTACTATAGTTCAGACAGTTAGATAACTTCAGACAGACTGCTTGAAATGGCTGTTGTACTGGTACTCTAAGCCAATGGTCGTTTATTAGTCACAAGAGGTAAAATTTTGATCAAATTGACACAGGAACACAAGTCATTTCAGGATGTCTAAAAATGAAAAGTGACAAAAACCGCAATTCAGAAATCCAGACAACTATTTATAAATCTTATGCCATATTTGTGGCACCTTAGTCAACTAGGACTCATTCTCCAAAGCCTGACTTCAAAGAGATATTAGAAATGGTGGCAAACCATGACAGAGAAATTCTGTCCTAAGTTAGTGATAGGTAAATGGACTGACTGACTGAGTTTGGTTTTACGCCACCTTTAGCAATATTCCAGCAACATCACGGCGGGGGACACCAGAAATGGGCTTCACACATAGTACCCATGTGGGGATTCAAACCAGGGTCTTCGGCGTGACGAGCCAACGCTTTAACCACTAGGCTACCCCACCTCCCCGATAGGTAAATGGAAGATATTGACACAACTTCTGAAGCAAATGGGATGAGATATTTATCTTAAAGGAATGGTAGGAGTAGAATCAGGTATAACCTCCACAAGTAGTTCCGGTGGCCGCGGCCACTTCTTGTCCAAGACATTCTTTGGTAGAGTTTCCCGCAGGCGCTGCAGGTAGTTGACTTTGGTGTATTTGATGAATTCTCTGTTCTCCTCACAGGCTGGCTTCTTGCGGAGAATGAAGCCCTTGATAAATCTGAAAAAGTGAGTGAGTGAGTGAGTGCCTGACTGACTGAGTTTGGTTTTACGCCGCTTTTAGCAATATTCCAGCAACATCACGGCAGGGGACACCAGAAATGGACTTCACACATAGTACCCATGTGGGGATTCGAACCTTGGTCTTCGGCGTGACGAGCCAACGCTTTAACCATTAGGCTACCCCACCGCCCCTAGTGAGTGAGTGAGTGAGTGAGGTTTAACTCCAGTCTGAATAGTAAACATCTCTAAAGAAACACATTACGATAGTTTCAAAAGATACCTTGTGTAATTATGTATAATGTTGTCATGGTTTTTGAAACGTTCATGAGTATTTGTATTCAAGCAAGTCAAACCTGTTGAATAATGGTGGTATAATTTACTCACTTTAAGCCAGTATGCGAATTATCTGGGGTGAGTGAGAGACAGAGTATGGTTTGATGCCAGTTTTAGTTATATTGCAGCAATATCACAGCAGGGGACACAAGAAATGGGCTTCACACACTGTACCCATGTGGGGAATCAAACCTGTGTCTTCGGGTGTGAGGTTCCAATCTTTATCCACCAGGCTACCCTACCACCCTCACAATGACATGAAGACCAACTGTGATTTAAAGTTTCCATTATATTTGTTTGTATTTATTTGAACATGTTCCAGAACTGTTGCATATTGTATTCAGAAGTAGAGAAGAAAGACCAAGACATGTGATTCCAGAGGGACTGGGATGGCGACTCACTTCCTGAGCGCCTGCACGGCCCATTTCCTCCTCTGCAGCAGTCTCTGTGCCGCCACACGGCGCCAATGGCACTGCAGCAATATGGCTGAAACAGCAAATTGTGAGTGAGTGAGTGAATGTGGTTTTACTCCGCAGAATGCACTTCTCCCACAATGCTTCAAAAATAATGAAGTGAATACATGTTTTTCAAGTGTCACATACAACCCTTTAAACAAAAAGATAGGTTTACTTAATGCCCAACTGGACACTTGTACAAACTTGCTTGCTTGACTGAAAAACCCCACTGGACTGGGACATCGGGCAATGGGTTATTTTCATCCCTGCCACTCTTTATATTTTCAGTCAGACTTTTATAAACAAGGCTTGCACTCAAAATAAATCAAAACATGAAAAAAAAACCTGCAGTGTTTCTTTTTGCATTTTTTCTTCACAGAATATCTGCTAAATGTTAAGGAAATAGTAAACTCAAAGATAGGAAGAAGCAGCTACAGAGGTTTCTGGAAAGTGAGGATTCAGAAGATGTATTTCTTGTCCTTTTTTCCAGTTGGTCCCATCACAACATTTTTTTTGAATATATTTTGTGGAAATCAAAACATTTTGCAGTTAGAACTGCTGTTTATAATTTCAACCCACCGACCTGAACTTTGGGGCAAAGAATCCATAAACTGAAGAAAGAAAATGAGACTCTGCCTTATCATTTTCCCAACTTGTAAGACCTCTGTCCATATGAGAACTAACTACTGCGTAACATGGCACTCACCACTAACTCTCCACTTGAGGTACTTCTGTCTCTGTGCATAGCCTTTGTAGTTGGACTGGATGATGGTGGCTGTGGAAGGAATCAAACAAGATAATCAACATCTGTAACTATTTGCACAAAGGCTATGACAATATGCTAGTTCTAAACATTTTGGATGTATTGTCTGCTAATCCTTACCAATGTCATGTTTCCTGACTTGGAAGGCATCCTCGGTGGCAAATAAGACACGTGGGAATCGGATGAAAAGTTTTGACCTGAAAAGAATGCAAAACAGAGTGAGTGAGTGAGTGAGTGAACAGGGTTTAATGGGGTTTTACAACAGGATTTCAGTTATATCGTGGCGTGTCAGACTGACGTGGGAGGAAAAGTGATGCAGGTCTCTGATAATTACCAAGTTGCTGTAACTCTCAAACAAGGCTGTTACGATTCACTTGCATATTTGGTGAATCGAACCGTAGCCCTTCATGAATTCAATTTGTTATTCATGGTCACCAGAACCGAATATTAAGAAATATTTCTTAAGGGAGTGTGCTTTACTTGAACCCTTATGTCCTTTTTCAAAGTGAGATATGCAAGAATGGAACATGTACTAGCCTTGCAGTAGCGCAAGTCATGTTAGTTTGCCATGGCTGCACCTGGTACTGTCGACTATAACTATTACATAAAAAAACAATCTAACAGAAGTTTTCTTGTAAGTTTACATTTTTGGCTATGGAAGCCTATTAGGGCCACTGACATTTTTTTATTATCTTGAAAATTCAAGATATTAAGTTGAAAATTCAAGATGCTTTACTATCATGAATTTTCAACTTTGTATCTTGAATTTTCAACTTAATATCTTGAATTTTCAAGATAATAAAAAAATATCAGTGGCCCTAATAGGCTTCCGTAGGCCAATAAAAACATAAGGATTTTATTTTTTGAGCAAGGAAAATTAATTTATATTTTTTTCTTATTCTTGAAAAAATATGACTGGCGGATCCGTAAAATGAGAAATAAAATTCTTCTGTCCTAAGTACATATTTTCTTACCCAATACTCATGATACATATCATATTTGCCACATAGTATATTCGATGCAGCCCTAATACGGTCCTGACAAATCTAGGATCAAACTGTGATTCAAACACACGATCTTAGGTTCCTGGAGTGCCTAAGGGATGCAACTCACACACACTGGCCACATCACAATCTGTTGTACATAGTGATTCAGGGTAAGAATAGGTCCTAAGCAACCTATGGTTTGGGTGAATTGAGTCACCTTTGGCGATGAGGGTATCTTACTACATTCAACCATCCATGGACTATATACAGTCCCTCAAGGAGTGAGTGAGTGAGTTTAGTTTTATGCCGCACTCAGCAATATTCCAGCTATATGGCGGCAGTCTGTAAATAATCGAGTCTGGACCAGACAATCCAGTGGTCAACATCAAGAGCATCGGCCTACGCAATTGGGAACCGATGACATGTGTCAACGAAGTCAGCGAGCCTGACCACTCGATCCCGTTAGTCGCCTCTTACGACAAGCATGCGTTACTGAAGACCAATTCTAACCCAGATCTTCACGGGTGGATTGTTACCGACTACACTGTCAAATAACAAACTTCATTGCACGTACTTGCCCATTCTGTAGTCGTCATCCTCGTACCTCAGGTACCGAACCAGCATAGCTACTCCATTCTTTGCCGGTCCATGGTATGTCGGCCATGTTGAGGGGGCACAGACACTTATACCTGACAAGGGTAGACGGTAACATCATTGTGATGATACATGTAAACCATTAACTAAAAGATCACCAGTACCTAACATTATGTTGAAACACAAATTCAAAATGTCATTTCAATTAGGAAAGAAATTATTTGCAGAATTAACATCTTCTTTACTCTCATTAGAATCAGATCTATTTCTCAATGCTGCTGAAGAAAGATTCAAGGACATAGCAGACAATCACGTTAGAATCATCTTTAGCCCACCAATCAGTGCACTGCTTACAAGATCAGGAAAGTGACTGTAACAGTGTGTTTTCTAATCATGCAACCTGGAAAAGTCCAGCATGTATTTCGAAAGACACAATTTTTGTGTCATTCAAAATCATAGTCTATCTCTTGCTTGAATGGGATAAACATTTGAGCAGACAAAAATGTGGGATGTACTAAAATACAAACTAGGCCATCTATTAGACATTCTAGAATGTTCTGCTGTTCAGTCTTCAAACACTGAATCAAGAACATGCCAAAATTATTTTTTGTTAAAGTTCAGTCATCAGTTTGAAACTAGTTATTTATGGGCTGGGAAAGCTGCTTTCTGATTGGCTAATGTAAGGTTCATGTTAATCATTTATCTGTTACTTCAAAAGTGGCAAAAGATGGTTTGGACTTGACCTGCATTGGGTTGTCCTCAGGTCTTAATTTAGCAGCAGGCAGAACAAAGATCTGAATTTATATGGAGTGTATCTGCTCTGGGCTGTGTATTCAAGGGGAGATCATCTGTCAAGTCATGACAGAGTTACTTCCCATATTGCCCAGTGAAATCTAAGATCTCCCTTATTAAGTGAGTGAACAAGTAAGTTTGGTTTAACGCCACATTTAGATTAAGGTTTTCCAGCTATATGACGGCAGGGGACAACAGAAATCTGCTTCACACATTGTACAATGTGGGGAAATCGAACCAGGGTCTTAAATGTGACGAGTGAACGCTGTAGCCTCTATGCTACGCCACTGCCCATCCCTCATTAAAAATGCAACAGGCCAGTTTGTTCTTGCTCGGTTTGTCAATGTAACAAGATTAAGTTGACGTCGTTGAACTCACCTCTTGAGGAATACTTCATATGGTCGCCTGTAGGCGAAGCCAGCTCGCCGGACACGGAGGTTTTCCATCAGACCCAGGTATTTCACCTGGTGGCTAACGATGCGGTCATCATACACACCTGTACCCAACACACAAAATAACAACATAAGCACCGAGCGATCAGCTCACACAAGTACTTCTTACTGACATTCATTCTTCAGGAGCAAAATGCATGTCTGGTCTCAGTGAATGAGTATCATAGCTACCCTATGAGTCAGTAACAGAGGCCGAGATAAGCTGCGTATCCAGGTAAAATACGCATAGAAAATTTCTAATTACGCATTGAAAAATAATTCTTGCTTACCAATCACGCATTTAAAATGTTAGATACGCAAAAAGTTTAAAACAAATGCGTACGGAAATATATTTATAAAAATCGCTTGCGTTATGAAAAAAGACATCGATTGCTATCAAGTTGTACCGTTAGTATAGGACAAGTGTTGTACTGTCAGTATAGGATGAGGTATTTTTGATGAAATCATTTCCATTATATTTAAGTTGGTTTTGATTAGGTATGACATAAGGCCGAACATACCTGCTTAGTAAACTTACTCAATGACATAATACTTAGGTGAGTTAAATGACTGAAATACGCACATATTTGAAAGCAGTGGGTAACGGAAAATGAAATACCCACTCAACATTCATAATACCCACTCCCACAAAATACAGAGGGTACAGTACCCACATGAGCTAAATCTTATCTGGAGTTCTGAGTAAGTGTGGTTTTCTGCCATTTTTAGCAATATTCCAGCAAAATCACGAAGGGAGATACCAGAATTTCTCACATTGTACCCATATGAGGAATCCAACATGAGTCTTCTACATGAGAAGCAAACATTTTAATTACTAGGCTACTGAACGACTTAGCAAAACTTGTTACTCTTGCCTTGTGTAAGAAAGAATATAACAGCGAGACGACACTAACAAACCAAGTTAATTCATATCATACAATGCATTCCCATTTCCAAAGCATTTCAGAAACACTGATATTCATGCAAATAGGCAAGACACTTAAGAGATACATTTGTACATAGAGGCAGGGCTCCAGATAATTTTTCAACATCAGGAGTACGTACTCCTTATTTTTTCAATATAAGAGTACTGGAAAACCTTAAGAGTACATTTAGAGTACTGAATGGAAATTAATGGAGTATCAGTAATCTTGTCATTCGTTTCATGTATGCACCACAACATTGCCACTCTTGTGCAAACAGGTCAATAAACAATAAAACAATACTTTTTCCGATAAATACGTCTGTAAATGATTCTAAGGCCGTACACCATTGCAGTGGTGCGTATCTGCTATTTTTCTCAAAAATTTCCTACCGTATCGTGCATATTTTTTATCCGTACATACGCCGGTACGGCCCTTATCTAGGGCCCTGATAGAGGTAACTGACAGCTCCTTAACCAATCGAAGCTAGTTAATAAGAGAAGATAAAGAGCTCTTTACCTGGCTGTTTGTGGTCATTAGGTTTGACACAGCGGACATATGACGGCTCCTTAGACATCAGAATATCCATCAGCTGAGCCAGGCTCGTCTTGAACTGGGTCGCTGCCTGGTAGAGACAATGGAGATTGATTAATGGATTGCACTCAGCAATAGGACCGCCTCCGTGGTGTAGTGGTTCGAACGTCCGCCGGAGTGTGGAAGGTCGCGGGTTCGATCCCCGACCGCGTCATACCAAAACACGTTAAAATATGGTACTTGTTGGTCCCTGCCTGGCGCTCGGCATTAATGGGTACAACAAGGACTGGTCGGCTCGGAGTCAGTATAATGTGTCTGAGTGGGGTATTCATGCTTCACTGCGGCATGGTATCTCCGTGGGCTAGCACTATAAAACAAGCTTCAGTCTGGGGTAGTACAAGCAGCCGCACATACACATACACACGCATGCACGTCGTCGTCATATGAGCGAAATATTCTCAAGCACGACGTTAAACCCAATTCCACCACCACCACCACCACCACCACCACCACTCAGCAATGTTCCAGCTAAATGAAAGCAGTCGGTGTATAATCAAACCTGGACCAGACAATCCGGTGATCAACATTATGAGGATCGATCTACACAATTGGGATACGATGATGTGTGTTAACTAGGTCAGCGAGCCTGACAACTCATTAGTCACTTCTTAAGACAAGCATGGGTTACTATGGTTTTACCTTGACTTACAAAACTGGGGGTCTAAGGGGCATTTTACGTGTTCTGGCTAGTAATACGAGGGACATGTAAAGTATTGGAATGGTGTAGTGTAGTGTAAGTTCAGATAATTACTTCAGAGCCAGGAATGAATCAGTGGTCATGTGGTCAATGGTCATGTGGACGGTGGTCAGGTGGACAATGGTCATGTGGACGGTGGTCATGTGGATGGTGGTCATGTGGACATGTGGACAGTGGTCATGTGGACAGTGGTCATGTGGATGGTGGTCTTGTGGACGGTGGTCATGTGGTCGGTGGTCATGTGGACGGTGGTCACGTGGACAGTGGTCACGTGGACAATGGTCACATGGACAATGGTCACGTGGACGGTGGTCACGTGGACGGTGGTCACGTGGACGGTGGTCATGTGGACAGTGGTCATGTGGACAGTGGTCATGTGGATAATAGTCATGTGGATAGTGGTCATGTGGACAGTGGTCATGTGGATGGTGGTCATGTGGATAATGGTCATGTGGACAGTGGTCATGACTGATGGGGGAAATACCAGACACAGATAACTTCTCTTCATGTATGGTAGACACTCACTGTATCAGGCCGCTTTTTGCTCAGCAGTTCGGCCGTGGGGAAACACTGGGAGGTTATTATATTGCCAGTTTGACTCATGGCCTGAAACACAACACAACACTCTTTGTAAACAAAATCATACCAGATCATACGATGACATTTCTCAAGAATACAGTTAGTCCGTTTCTTTGTTTGCTTCCGGTCTCTTGGTTGTGAAAATTGTGGATGAGTACGATCTAACAATACTTTGTCGTGTAATGACACACTCACGAATATTCCAGCTGTGCCACAACAGTAAATATCTACCTTGTCAAGGTATGTTGACAAGCCATTATCAGGCCACTGAGTCGGACAAACAGGGAGCTTGACACTCTGTACCCTTTGAATTGAATTTCAACATTCAGCTCAGCACATGACTAATCTAAATCTAAATATTCTGAATACAGACCAGCAGACATTTTAAAAGTCAAGTTTAGTGAGTGAATTCTAGCCATATCATGATGGAGAACTAGACTTCACATTGTACCCATTGTGAAATAAGACCCATAACAAACACTCACCTCCTTCAGATCCCTAAACAGAAGATCATTGTTCTTATCCAGAAAGCCTCGTACGTTGTAAGTCACATGACCTGCATAATGGATTAACCGGAACTCCTGAAACCGTGAGTGAGTGAGTGAGTGAGTGAGTGAGTGAGTGAGTGTTGTTTGTTTGTTTGTTTAATACCACACTCAGCAATTTTCCAACTACATGATGGCAGTCTGTGAGTGAGTGAGTGAGTGAGTTCTGTTTGTCCGTTTGTTTAATACCACACTCAGCAATTTTCCAACTACATGATGGCAGTCTGTGAGTGAGTGAGTGAGTGAGTGAGTGCTGTTTGTCCGTTTGTTTAATACCACACTCAGCAATTTTCCAACTATATGATGGCAGTCTGTGAGTGAGTGAGTGAGTGAGTGAGTGAGTGAGTGAGTGAGTGAGTGATGTGAGTGAGTGAGTGAGTGCTGTTTGTGAGTGAGTGAGTGAGTCAGTGAGTGAGTGAGTGAGTGAGTGAGTGCTGTTTGTCCGGTTGTTTAATACCACACTCAGCAATTTTCCAACTACATGATGGCAGTCTGTAAACAATCAAGTCAGGACCAGACAATCCAGTGATCAGCAGCATGAGGTACTGTTTACAATGACACGTGTGAACCAAGTCAGTGAGTCTGACCACCCGATCCTATTAGTCACCTCCTATGACCAGCATGGGTTGCTGAAGACCCAGATCTTCATGAGTCAGTGTGGGACACTAGTCAACACATCATTGCAAACAAAAAGGCATCTGAATTTGGATGAGAAAAACCAGTGGTCCGTAGCGTAAATGACCATCTTTTCTTCAACACAAATAAACAGAGTCCTCCCTGAACACTGTAGGTATCTGTAACGTTAGATCAAATCTCAGATTCAAACTGAAGGGCTAGACATCAGGCATAGGGACACAACTCAGGCGACAACGCCAACACAAGTGATTCAACCACTATGTATTAAATTACAAGTGCCATCACAGGCCTATCTCCAAGAGTTTCAAATGAAATTCAGAGGTATCAAATACTCAACAACAACCTATGTTAACTCAGTGCATGTAGTTGGAGAGGATTGATACCTACATCTCTCTGTATGGTTTTTCTGGTGGTAGTGTCTGCCGTTTTTATGACTTATAAAGTGGGGATGGCTGCCGATTGTCTCCGTCAGCTTCTCCAGGAACGTAAGGTCAGTTGGATCTCCAGGGCGAAGACATTCCTCATCCTGCAACAACGAACAACAAACCATATAGCAACAACAAAAATATTATGAACAAATTACCAAGTAATTCAGGATTTATGCTGTTTTTACAATAATCCAGCAATATCATGGCGGAAAACACAAGAAGTGGGGCTCACACACTCTGGGGAATTGAACATAGGCCATTCGATGTGACAAGAAAACACTTCCAACTACTGTCCCATCAACAAAATACCACCAGATTTAGTAAAAGTTATATTAGACACACATCACTTAGGAACAAACAAAACTGAACTATAATCAACTGCAGTGAACTTACAAATTATTATTTATCTATACATTTTAGAACTGTTAATGAGAATAACTAATAAAGATTCAAGTTCTTCAACTCATATAGATGCATACATACCATAATAGCTATTATTCCATATGGTTTTCCTTCAACAAGATCACAGATTATCTTATTGTTGAAATATTGCACAGGTTCCCACTGAAATAACATAGAAATTTGTTTGTTTGTTAGCTGTTTTAAGTGTGCTCCCAGCAATATGGGGGCGGTCTAAATAATCGAATCTGGACCAGACAATCCAGTGATCAATATCATGAGCACGATCTACGCAATTGGTATATGAAAACGTGGCCCAGTCAGCGAGCATGACCACCCGATCCCGTTAGTCACCTCTTACGACAAGCATGGGTTACTGAAGACATATTCTAACCCAGATCTTCATGGGTGGAGAACAGAACTAAATGTCAACAAAGTCAGCGATTCTGAACACCCGATCATGTTAGTTGCCTCTTACGACAAACATGGGTTACTGAAGACCATTTCTAACCCACGGGTGGAGAACAGAACTAAATGTCAACAAAGTCAGCGATTCTGAACACCCGATCATGTTAGTTGCCTCTTACAACATGCATGGGTTGCTGAAGACCATTTTTAACCTGTAACTTCACAGACCACAATGGTAAATTGGTGGAAGGATGATTATGCATGCCTCCCGATAATGACATACATCTGGCCAGTTTGAGTTGGCTTTCTAACAAGAGAATTAAAAAAAGGACTGACAGTTGTGTCATGTCTCCCATTAATCTAGATGGCTGGGATGTTTGGGGGTGGCGGCCTACCTCGATCCCTTCCCGCTGGTACTCCTCCTGCTCTGACTTGAGGGTCAGCTGGATGAAAAGTTGCTGCAGCTTCTCATTGCAGAAGTTGATACAGAACTGCTCGAAACTGGAACAACAATGGAAGGAGGTTAATCAGTTAACCTGACTGGTTGCACATCACTGTACCCTGTAGGCAGGTACTACAGACTTCTTGAAGAAAGGCATGCTTGAGATTCACAGTCACTTATTGATCAATTGCATAATTTGTGTTTGAGACAAAATGAAATACAAAAATAAAAAAACAACAAATTGAATAAACACATCAGACCAACTCCAGAGAAAAAATTGCATAATTTGTGTCATGTGATTACTGTCTGATTGACAAAGTGAGATTGGCAAAATGAAAGTCTGTAATTGACAAAGTGAGAGAAAATGCAAGTCTATACAAAGTCTATGATTTCTACAAGGATGAAAGCAGGGGTTGACCCAAGATGCGTCTACTGTCTGTGCATCTCATTTCGCCTTCTCATAAATTTGTTGAGCTGTTCCTTTAGTTGCCAATGTTGCCAATGCCTTGTAACAAACTGGGAAAACGCACAAATAAATGATGACAGCTTCTTAAACAACTTTTTTATTTTTGTGACACAAATTATGCCATTTTTTTCTGGAGTTGGTCTGATGTGTTTATTGCAGTCCGCGTTGGTTTTATTCTTTTACGTCTATTTGTTTTTGTGTTAGATTGCAATTCATCGGTATCATTTTGTCTCAAACAGACTGTAATAGTGTGTATTCTTTCTAACGCTGTACTCAGAACTAGGCCTGCAACATAACCGATTTACCAGTATTTACCGGTTCAGACATGAAATCGATACATATTGTGATATGCTGATCGAAAACCGATATTTCGTAATGTATTCAGAAACCTTCTTAACACTCGGAAATCTTCAAATATTTCCGTTTTTCACAGTTCGGTTTGAAGTTGGGTTCTTCATTTTTGTTCAAGTGTTTCGCAGTGTTTTGGATCTGAATGTTTTAAATGTTTACTTATTAATGACCAGTGATTTCTCATATGTCCTGGCCAGGTCAAGTTGCTGTCTAAAATCTCAGGGCTTTGTTTGAGAGTGGAGAAACTAGTTCAAACTAGTAACCACTGTGTTGATGTTTAATTGTTCTTTTCCTTGTTTCATTTGTGCCAAATATTACTTATTTTGTCATGATTAAATTTTTTATTACAGCTTAATCAAGCATACTGATTTTGTTGAGTTTTTGCTTTTTGTAAATCAAGCATTAAATTGATTGTAAGATTGTTTCGCATAAAAAAATGTCTGCAGTATATTGCAATACATATCGCAATATATGCTTTCGCATTGCAATATATCGCAATATGAAAATTCACTGTAATACCCATCTCTACTCAGAACTATTCCAGCTCCATGTCTGGACCAGACTATTCAGTGACTGATATCATGAGCATCAATACATACAACCAGGATGTTATGTGTCAACCATTTCTAACATGGCATGTATGGGCAAATATTTTGAGTAATGACGATTTGTTTTGATTTTTTAAGCAAATGTACAATATATCAGGACTGTACATGGCTCCTAACTGGCTAGCTGTTGGCAATGTTATAATAATAAAATAACAGTCCATTCACATAACTTTATCCCACCGGTACCCATTTTCTGCTGGGTGAACAGAGGCAATTTTGAACAGACTCACTTGTCTAGTGAGTGAGTTAGAATTTAATGTCACTTCGGCAATATTTCAGCCATATAGTGACGAGCTCACTTGTCTAAGGTGAGACCATATGTATCATATGTCGTATCACATGTATCACATGTTACAGATAATATCCGTTCTGGTCATAACATCAAACATGAAAACATTCTGAAATTCAAGGTCTTACCTATTTACACCAAATATCTCAAATCCATAGATGTCAAGCAGGCCCATTAAATTACATTTGTACTTCCCCTGAAACATATGCAGGACTGTTATGTTGATGGTTACACATGAAAACATCTTGAAAGAGAATAAAAAACAACAACAAACTGACACAATGTCAAAACTGAACAAACAAACAACATACAGTGGAAACCATTTTTAGCCTAAGTAAATTGCACCGCTTAACTAAACAGACCTGATAAGTAAAACACTTTTCTTTGGTCCCGGCAAATTTCTTCAATAATTATCACTATTAGGGACTAGTGGCCATACCACACAGTCTGGTTAACTAAACTCGGATAAGTAAACAATACCGGGACTAGTGGCCACTACACACAAACATAGCAACATCTCTGGACGGTCCCTGGAAGTAAATTACTTAACAAAAACATAGTAACATATATACTGAATATAGATACTGGATAACTAAACTAGCGATCACCACATAATCCGACATGAGGGGCAGTAGTGTCAGTCTCCAGTCAAACAAACATCCTACCTTACAGCTTGCTGGCGTCAAGCAGTTGACAATACACTGACAACTGGACTATGCCAGCCTAGTGGCTGATAAGTTGTTCATTGTTACATATGCACACAAACACATATACATACATATGGTTGTCATTTGCAGGTTTTATAAGTTTGGATAAGTAAAATACCTGATAAGTAAAACAATTTGGATATAGGGACTAGTCCCTACCACAACAAACATACAACATCAGGTTTCCATAGCAACATAATAACATTTTTCATATCATTTTAGTTTTCTACTAGAATTTGGCCATTAATTTTAGGCACATATACTGAATATAGGGACTAGTGGCCATACCACACACAGATGTAGCATGATGAGTTTGTTTGTTAATAAACTGAACAAAAATTTGAGATGATGAATTTAAGCACTTAATTTCAAGAACATATCCCCAAAATATTCATGATCTCTTTTTTTGTTCAGCATATGATAAACAATTATTTGAAGATTTATTACTTTGAAGTCCTATATAGTTTTGCTCTGGCTGATTGATTGAGTGGGTGAGTGAGGGAGTTGAGTTTCCACTGCTTTCAACAATATTCCAGCAATACCATGGCGGGGGACACCAGATATGGGCTACAAACATTGTACACATGTGGGGAATCAAACCAGATAGTCAGCATTACAAGAAAACACTTTAACCACTAGGCTACCCCACTGCATTCCTCTGGCTGAGAGGGGCGGTGGGGTAGCCTAGTGGTTAAAGCGTTGGCTCGTCACACCGAAGACCCGGGTTCTAATCCCCACATGGGTACAATGTGTGAAGCCCATTTCTGGTGTCCCCTGCCGTGATGTTGCTGGAATATTGCTAAAAGCGGCGTAAAACCAAACTCAGTCAGTCAGTCCTCTGGCTGAGACTAATCTACACTGCTACAATAGGAACAAGTGTCTGTTTAGCTGACTCAGTTTCAAATGATAGCAAGAGTTGAAACGACAATGAAATAGTGCAAGGGAGACAACTGGGACTGACCTTGTTTGCTAGTGAAGAGTTGACTTTGTGGACTATCCATGTGAAGAGTCGGTCATACACGCCTTTAGCCAGTGCATCCTTTGCATACAGCCCCTGGTCTTGTGACAGGGGAGTCTTTACCTGATACATGGGAAATATTAAATTTATCACATGATGGATAGTAAAGCTGAATATGATAAACTCAGAAAAGTGTACTACAGATATTATACCCCAGACAGGGCTGTATACAGATATGTACCATCCATAATGAGAATACAGAAAGACGCGTATATAGGGGCGATTCCATTCCCATTGTGAATTATTTTGATCGGAACTGTCATGCTGTTGTATTAGATACATTTGCATTGCATTGCTTTATGTAAGTAATGAGAATACACAGTAGCGGATATTTCGCGATGCATATGAATACTACTCGCAATCAGTTGAACGGGAACAAGTACACGCGGTTTCGGTTTTGGATTGCGGAATATGGACTCGTCCGCCTTTTAGGGTACCGGGTACATTTCTGTATTTTGACTTTGTTTAGGGTACATATCTGTATACAGAAACGTACCCGGGGTAAGTATTTGTAGTACCTGTGCCGACAACGACCCCTTCAGCGATAGTGACATGGATATGATAAACTCAGAAAAAGTGCTAAGAATGACATTATATAACGAGATTACTACAAGTGCTGGTTATCACACACAATAAGCAGATCAATAATTGGAGCTCAGTAATCAATCAATAAAGGTCAGTAATCATGATCGCCACCTCAAAACTTTTGTTGTCAATATCAGATGCAATCATAACATTGAGCAAATAAAACAGGCACCGATTAATACTACTATCAAGATGATCAAAGATCTTTCCTATTGATATACACACACGATTGTGTTGTTTACATCACAGTTTTGTGAGTCAGGAAACTGCTTCAGTTGTTTGTCTTGATTTAACAAACATTACAATAAGAAACATCCTTTCTAAAGTTTAATCCGATGTTTCATTTTTTATTAATATCGATTAGTCTCCCGAGCTCATCAATTATCACTCACGTAAGCAAGATCGATTGAATGATCGATTATTTAATCAAATGCCCCAGCACAATACCATATGTTCATTCACGATCATGATTATTAGTTTTGGTGTTAATATTATTATTATCATTATTATCTGAGAAAGTGACAATTAACTAATTTTCCCAATATTATGTTTAGAAAGACATTATACAGGGCTCCAGATAAAGGCCGTATCGGCGTATGTACGGATACAAAATATGCACGATATGATAGGAAATAAATTTAGGAAACGTAGCAGATACACTCCCACATCAATGGTGTACTGTCTTAACATCATTTACAGGCGTATTTATCTGAAAAGTATTGTTTTATTGTTTATTGACCTGTTTTACCCAATGCCTAGCAATGATGTGGTGCATATATGAATAAGTTATTATTGTGTTTTTCTGCATAATACCATAATATGTTCATTACAATCATGATTATAAGTTTTGTTGTTAATATTATTATTATCATTATTATCTGAGAAAGTGACAATTAACTAATTTTCCCAATATTATCTCTTATGTTTAGAAAGACATTATACAGGGCTCCAGATAAAGGCCGTATTGGCGTATGTATATGGATAAAAAATATGCACGATATGATAGGAAATAATTTAGGAACGTAGCAGATACGCTCCACAACAATGGTGTACGGTCTTAACATCATTTACAGACGTATTTATCTGAAAAAGTATTGTTTTATTGTTTACTGACCTGTTTACACAAGCCTAGCAATGATGTGGTGCATATATGAAACGAAACACAAGATTACTGATACTCCATTAAAATCCATTCAGTACTCTAAGTGTACTCTAAAGTTTTCCAGTACTCCTATCTTGAAAAATAAAGAGTATGTACTCCTGATGTTGAAAAATTATCTGAAGCCCTGATTATATAAGGTTATTATTATGTTTTTCTGTATAATTACCATATTAAGCAGATTATGATTATTAGCATTATTGTCATTAACATTTATATTATCTGAGAAGTGACCTATCTTACCCTCTCCCCTCGTGCGTCAATGGTCCGGTTACACAGAGACGAGATGAGGACGTCGTCGGGACAGTCCAGGAGCTGCAACAAGCACATGCAGGGTGATCAAAGAGGTTGACATCCGCCCCATATACACAGGATGACATTCACCCATTTGAGCAGATTGGACACACATTTCTGCATTTGTAAAACCCTGATTGTACATTTAAATGTGTTGCTAGTTTTTTACCTTTGCTATGTGTGACACTGCCTCGAGATCCTTGATCTTGATCAAACCATCAACGCTGGTCTGATATTCCAGGTTTCCAAGGTGAAGGACAGATGAGATGATTGAAAAGAGAGCCTACAAATAACAGAACAGAATAACGTCATAACATGTCATCAGTTTGTGCACGTGAGTGACCCGTAAAGAAGCCTCACCAAAGACTGAGCAGCTTGTTGTGTACACAATGGAATAATGAATCACAATTGATGTGAAGAAGTGTATGTCTCCGACACGCACCAAACATGAGACACCATTATATCCTGGACACCTACCAAACATGACACCATCACGTCCCCAACACCCACCAAACATGACACCATCACGTCCCCAACACCCACCAAACATCAGATATCATTACGTCCCCAACACCCACCAAACATCAGATATCATCACGTCCCCAACACCCACCAAACATCAGATATCATCACGTCCCCGACACCCACCAAACATCAGATATCATCACATCCCCGACACCCACCAAACATCAGATATCATCACATCCCCGACACCCACCAAACATCAGATATCATCACGCATCCCCAGACACACCCCACCAAACATCAGAACACCATCACGCCCCAACACCCACCAAACACACAGATACCATCACATCCCCAACACCCACCAAACATCAGATATCATCACATCCCCAACACCCACCAAAAACATCAGATATCATCACATCCCCTAACACCCACCACCAAACATCAGATATCATCACATCCCCCCACACCCACCAAACATCAGATATCATCACATCCCCAACACCCACCAAACATCAGATATCATCACATCCCCATCAACACCCACCAAACATCAGATATCATCACATCCCCCAACACCCACCAAACATCAGATATCATCACGCATCCCCAACACCCACCAAACATCAGATATCATCACATCCCTGACACCCACCAAACATCAGATATCATCACATCCCCTGACACCCACCAAACATCAGATATCATCACATCCCCGGCTACACCCACCAAACATCAGATATCATCATGTCCCCAACACCCACCAAACATCAGATATCATCACGCCCCCCTGACATCCACCAAACATCAGATATCATCACATCCCAAACACCCACCAAACATCAGATATCATCACATCCCCCCTGACACCCACCAAACATCAGATATCATCATCCCCAACACCCCTGACACCCACCAAACATCAGATATCATCACATCCCCCAACACCCACCAAACATCAGATATCATCATCACATCCCCTTACACCCACCAAACATCAGATATCATCACATCCCTGACACCCACCAAACATCAGATATCATCACATCCCCAACACCCACCCACCAAACATCAGATATCATCACATCCCCTGGGACAACCCACCAAACATCAGATATCATCACATCCCCACACCCACCAAACATCAGATATCATCACGACACCACCAAACATCAGACACCACCAAACATCAGATATCACACCCACCAAACATCAGATATCATCACATCCCCGACCCCACCAAACATCAGATATCATCACATCCCCCAACACCCATCAAACATCAGATATCATCACGTCCCCACACCCACCAAACATCAGATATCATCACATCCCCTGACACCCACCAAACATCAGATATCATCACATCCCTGACACCCACCAAACATCAGATATCATCACATCCCTGACACCCACCAAACATCAGATATCATCACGTCCCTGACACCCACCAAACATCAGATATCATCACATCCCTGACACCCACCAAACATCAGATATCATCACATCCCTGACACCCACCAAACATCAGATATCATCACATCCCCACACCCACCAAACATCAGATATCATCACATCCCCAACACCCACCAAACATCAGATATCATCACGTCCCCAACACCCACCAAACATCAGATATCATCACATCCCTGACACCCACCAAACATCAGATATCATCACCGCCCCTGACACCCACCAAACATCAGATATCATCACATCCCTGACACCCACCAAACATCAGATATCATCACATCCCCAACACCCACCAAACATCAGATATCATCACATCCCTGACACCCACCAAACATCAGATATCATCACATCCCCAACACCCACCCCAACAAACATCAGATATCACATCACACCCCCACACCCACCAAACATCAGATATCATCACATCCCTGACACACCACCAAACATCAGATATCAACATCCCCAACACCCACCAAACATCAGATATCATCACATCCCCAACACCCACAAAACATCAGATATCATCACATCCCCCACACCCACCAAACATCAGATATCATCACATCCCCAACACCCACCAAACACACCATCACGCCCCTGACACCCACCAAACATCAGACACCATCACATCCCTGACACCCACCAAACATCAGATATCATCACATCCCAAACACCCACCAAACACCAGACACCATCACATCCCCTGACACCCACCAAACATCAGATATCATCACATCCCCGACACCCACCAAACATCAGATATCATCACGTCCCCAACACCCACCAAACATCAGATATCATCACATCCCCGACACCCACCAAACATCAGATATCATCACATCCCCGACACCCACCAAACATCAGATATCATCACGTCCCTGACACCCACCAAACATCAGATATCATCACGTCCCCAACACCCACCAAACATCAGATATCATCACATCCCCAACACCCACCAAACATCAGATATCATCACATCCCCGACACCCACCAAACATCAGATATCATCACGTCCCCGACACCCACCAAACATCAGATATCATCACGTCCCCGACACCCACCAAACATCAGATATCATCACGTCCCCAACACCCACCAAACATCAGATATCATCACGTCCCTGACACCCACCTCCTGCTCCTTCTTGCTGAAATCACAGATGTCGAGTGCCTGCTGAACAATCTTAAAACTCTTCTTGTCATCCACCGACTCGGCCATCACACTCTCACCCTGTAACAAAGTCACTGAATTAAAACATAGAACATCACACAAAATCTGAACAAAATTACCATGAAACAAACAGCTGATACACATTCAATGAAGCATCAGTCAGATCTAATCTGAGACTGGCGACCTATTCTAACTAATGCCAGTTTTCTAATACTGGGCCACTGAGATGCTGCAGTTTAACATGGACACTCGACTCAGACACAGTACACTGACTATGAACTACCCAGTCCCCTCAATGGCTTCCTCCACTAATGGTATCAACAAGAACTACTTTTCTACTGTTCTCAAGCAGGGGCTCTATCCACTTGAGCACAGAGGCTGTTCAAACCAGAATTTATGCATGAACTATGAAAACACAATATTAGTTGAGAAAAAAAGTGAGTTTGTAGGGCTTTATGCCAATTTTAGCAATATTCCAGCAATATCACGGCGGGGTCACCAGAAACGGTCTCCACACATTGTACCCATGTGGGGAATTGAACCTAGGTCTTGGGCAAACGCTTTAACCACTGGGCTACCTCACTGCCCCTTTCAAAGCATAAAGGTTAAATAAATATTTCTGTTTCTATGGAAAAGCTATTTGTTAGTTATTTACACTTTGAGCAGAACTAAGTTAAATACCTGGTATAAAATACATAAGTATATATATATATATTGAGAGATAGAAATACATGGTTATTAGGGACCGTTCATAATTTATGGCTAGGGGGGTGATGATGATTTTTATGGAGAAGCATGTACAATGTGGATGACCCCCATAAATATTTATGTATAAAAAAAGTGACTCCCCCTGCATGTCATGTACAAAATCAATGACCCCCTTCCCTTCCCATAATTTCTAAGTATAATTTTAAACATATTTTTATGTACAAAATTGCTGACCAACCACCACCACCCCAGTGCGTGTGTACAAAATTGATGACCCCCTACCTCACCAGAACAAAATGGGTGACCCCCAAAAAAAAAAAAATCATCATCACCCCCTAGCCATAAATTATGAACGGTCCCTTATATAGAAACAGTTGTATTTAAGAACATCTAAATGTCTAAACAAAACCATGGGATCATGATCATATATAGGAATAATTCTGGTCCTGAAACCTGAGCACACAATTTCAGAAAAATATATTCTCCCAACATTTCATGAGCCTTATGTCTTTTCATCAGTAGAGTGAGTGAGTATGGTTTTACGCCGCTTTTGGCAATATTCCAGCAATATCATGGCGGGGGACACCAGAAATTGGCTTCACACATTGTACCCAGGTGGGGAATCGAACCCAGGTCTTTGGCTTGACGAGCGAACGCTTTAACCACTAGGCTACCACACCACTCCTATACAAGTAGAGATCGAAAAAGTTAATCCCTTGTATAAGAACATACACAAAAGTTACTGTTTTGAAGAAATTCTGATAGCACCACCCCTATGATGATGTCAGTATTAAAAACAAACAGTTGTTTATTTAGCTTTGTTTACATGTTAGCAAGGACATGTGGGTGAGTGAGTGGGTAATGCTTCACACCATATCTCGGCACCACGGCAAGTCAGTGAGTGAGTGACTGACACTCTGAGTTTGATTATTGGCTTATTAGATGAAAGGTATTGGTTGGTGGGGAAACACACAAGACATTAAGTGTTCTACTGTCTCAATTTTTCATTGTTTATAAAGTTGGTACTGTCAGTCTTTAAGCTTAACATATTGTAAGTGTAGTGCAAGTTTTTTTGTGAACACGAAAGCTTGCAGTTGCGATTTCAAAATGTAAATGTTGTGAGACAATGTGCACAATAACTGTTGTTGCAGTGTGTCAGAGCTCAACATATGTCAAGGACAGACATAGCTGATTCCAAGAATTTTGGGACAAATGAATAGGTTCAGTACAGCATGATCAATGGTATTTATTTGCTGCTTGTACAAAACCATCAACATCTACACAGGTCTTGACCAGGACATGGGCAGATGAGACCTCTTTCCTCAGATGAACATCCCAGTGGACAATGAATTTGGTGGACAACCTAAAATAAATTTAAGTGTTTTTGCCCCTAAACATCCAGAGGTGGTGTCTTACATAATTTTGCAAATGTGATTTGAACAATTCCAAACATGCAAGTGGTGAACATGAAACATTTTCCAAGGTACTTTGAAAATAACAAAATGGATCTCATCAAATTGTTACTGTATACAGTAAGATCACAGCTATTATCCTCAATAGTTAAGCATACAACTTAATGGATAACAACTTCTTAATTATTGTATAGAGTGACATTTCAGTGTAGATGTTTACACCATTATCCAGATAAACAAGACTGGTAAACATGAGAAGTAAATATACAGTGAGACCCCGGATATCCGGACACATTCGTTTTTACGTAAATCGTCCAGATAACTGAATATCCGGATATCTGGATTTCTGTCATCCAGGCTTACCATATATTACCGTCTATAAGCCAAATTTTGAGGATAAAAAAGCAGTGTGTAGAAAGGGTTTGGCTTTTCTTCATGAGTTACGCTTTCGTCAAACTTTTGTCCAGGGGTAAAAAACAACATCATATCACTTCGTGTGAACAAACAACAGAAGACAACTTTGTCAGTGAAGACATCAAATTTGCAATTAAACATCACTAGACAAGATTATTTACCTCTTAAGTACTAAGTTGTTTTTGCTGGGCATTGTATAACGTAAGAGATTGTTTTTTTATGAAAATTGACCGGAAGGTGAGGTTTCGAGATATTTGGGGTCCGAGTATCTGGGGTCTCACTGTACAAAGTATGTTATGACAAACAGCAGATTAACATAAGGAACAATATGAAATTGATAACAAGTGTCACTCCTAGCTTGATAATGGTGTAAAAATCTACACCGAAACCTCACTCTACCCAAAACAAAAGAATTCTTCTCCATGAAGTTGTATGCTTCATAACTGACTCACCAACAAGAATGCCAAACAAACATACAAATAGTCTATAATACTCTCCCGTTCTCCCCAAAAGATAACACAAGGCTTTATGAAAGTCTTTAACTTTTTAAAATTTAAATAAACAGTGTAAATAATTAGATAACACCCAGCACTCTCACACAGATTAGGCCCAAGGGCATGTAATTGTGTTAGTGTAATCAGAAATACCTCTCTCCTGGCCTTATATGAAAAGAAAACAAACGAATCGGGTACACATGTAATAAATGACAACTGATTCTGAAGAAAAGATTTGTTGTTGTAATTTAATGCCACAGTCAGCATTATTTCAGCTACATAAAAGCATGAACACACACTGCCATTTATAACGTGTTGTACAGGAAGGCAGCCTGTCAATCATTGAGTCTCCACCGATGTCATTCCCATTCCTGTGAATGACATCATTCACATTCCCATGAATGACATCACAGATGAGTGAAGTACCGTACAAACTAATTAAAACAAAGTATGTTCTCCTGAATGGAATATGGTTTGAAGAAGGAATTCAAAAGAATCAGAGATTCTTTAATCATTGACACCTTTGTTGCTTGCCTTCTTTGAGGTAGTCTCCAGATGAAGGTATGATGAATCATTGGTGAAAATATGTCTATCAGTAAGATTTAATGCTCACTACACATTACAAACTGTCACGTTTTGTACTGTTGTGTTGGCTAATGCCAAACTCAGCTATATTCCAGCTACAGCACAGTAGTCATTATTTAGTAGTAAATAACCAAGTTTTAACCAGACAATCCAGTGATTAACATCATGAGCATCAATCTATGCATTTCAGATCAATAATATGCATCAACCATGCCAGTACACTCAGGCCACATAAAAAATATTCTTGTTTCTCAACACGGTTTTTTTAAATATGGGTCAGGCAGACAGATTTTATTTTTACATTTTATTTTACGTCCAAAATTTCTGAGGAAATTTACACCTTTTTTCTGAAATAAAATCAAAAGCTAGAAGTGTGAAAAATTCATGCACATTTTGAGAGTCAAAGATTCATTTTCTCAAGTGTTAAAAATATAAAAAATCTTAGGGTCAGGTTGGGTCAAATTTTTGGATTGGCGATAATGAGAAAAAAGAATATTTTTATATATGGCCTAACCACCAAATAACAGGTTGTTGAAGACCAATTCTGATCCAAAACTTCAAGAGTCTACCGCTTAGGGAAACACTACCGTGCATGTGTTGGAGTAACAGGAAAAGAATCACAACTTGGGCAAATCTGTAGCTGATCCTGAAACGCTAAGGGACATAACTCTACTAAGTGTCTCAACCCCCTTGGAATGCATTTGTAATTGATTATAAAGATGGAGGAACATCATTTACCTGATACAGGAAGAAGTAATCCTGTGGGTTGCGTGTGAGATGGAGTCGTTGAAGCGTGTCATCAGATGCCCCTGTAAGGAGCTGGTAGAAGACGTGGAAGTTGCGCTCTCCTGATGCCTGGTGGATGACACGTGACTTCTCCAGCAGATAGTTCAGGATGTGACCTCCAACAGGTGCACCCTGGGTAAATGTGGTGAAAAAATACTTTGAAGGGGTGAACATTTTCTGGTCACATGGAGCATATCTTTAATAATAGTTTCCTGCACTTACATCACCAATATTTAACATACAATAGAAGTGGTGATTGTGGCTATTGGTGAGGTGAGCTGAAATTGGGTTTTATATCTGTAGTGCTTGAGAATATTTTAACACCTCACTCATATGGCGGCGCGCGCATGTGTGTGTATGTGTATGTGCTGCTGCTTGTACTAGCCCAGACTGAAGCTGGTTTTATAGTGCTAGCCCACTGAGATACCATGCATCCAGTGAAGCATGAATACCCCACTCAGACACATTATACTGACTCGAGCCGACCAGTCCTTGTTGTACCCTTATTAATGCCCGCTTAAACTTGGCAGACAGGGACCAACAAGTACCATATTTTAATGTCTTTTGGTATGTTTTGTTGGGGATCGAACCAATTTGTTTCCGCTCAAATCTGGACAGGTACTGCTCAAACCACTACACCACGCGAGGCGGTCTTGTGGCTATTGGTAAATCAACCCATAAAGAATTGCCTTTTATATCTGTAGCGTTCACTGTTTATTGTTTTAACACCTCACTCAGCAATATTCCAGCTGTATGACTGCGGTTTGTAAATAATCAAGTCTGGACCAGACAATCCAGATCAAAAGCATAAACATTTGATCTACCCAATTGGGGTAGATACATCAACTAAGTTAACGAATAAATAATCAACAACAAAAACTTCACAGACTTTGTGACATCATTCATTGTAACAATGCAACATAAACCCTGATGATTATATTTTTAGCCAATGAAGAAGGAATCCATTAGAGGGCTTGGCCAAATTTTCAAGGGTAGTTTTGGCTAAATGTTAAAGACACAACTCGTTACCTTGTAGTCAAACTGTATGTCCATATACTTCCCAAAACGACTGGAGTTGTCATTTCTGTTTGTTTTCGCATTTCCAAAGGCCTGAAATAAGAATAATTATACAAGTTTACCAAAACCATAAAACAATTCTGAATAAAAGCAAAATATAGAAAATATACCATTATCAGTATTTAATGGGGAAAATCAGGACTCAAACCATAATCTCCAGTTTCTGGTGTACCCAAGGGAAACAACTCTGTACAACAAATTGTATTACCTTACACAACAGGGCCCCCCCTTACTCTAATCATTAATGGGGCTAGTATCACGGTGTATTGAGAGTGAATTAGGACAACTGACAATTGAATTCTGCAACCAGATAATTAATAATTTATCTCTGAGGAAAGTTATTAGGTCTGTACTATTCGGATCCGTGATATTTTCAAACAATGAAGTGTTGAATAATATGAGTGCAGGTGAGATTGGTTTGTAAGTCACTTTGAACCTGATTATTTATGACTAGCAATAACCATCACACTGGGGTATTTAATCCTAATCGCTGCATTCGCACCTGAGTTGCCGTGCCACAGTGATTGACTGATTAGAAACAAGTACCTCCCTTAAAGGAGCATACTAGAAAATTTCAATAACTGACTGGGTGAAAGATAAAGTTATCAGAAACATGTACCCCAATTTTTAATGCAATAAATTATTTAATTATACATTAATCGTGAACTCAGTTTCTGCTACCTCAGGTTCAGCCATTATGCATATTCTGCTAGCAAGTCCATGAACTCAAGCGAACTTTTACACTTGTGACGTCATGTGACTCAGTTCAGCCATTATGCGTAAGACCAAGTGCCACAAAGTGCAACCATCTCATGTACAAGAGACGTCTTGACTGTTGAAAAGCGTTTTAGTGACAACTCAGCCGACTGTGGAAAGCTTAACGTGATGCAATCAACTGATGGTTAGTCTGGGGTTAAACCAACCAGCATGGTGCTGACGAACCATGGACTATTATCAGGTTGATGGCCAAGGTACATAACTCTACACGGCAAACTGCAGCACCTAAGACCAGTGGGCCACTGAACTTAAAGCAACAAAAATCATATCCTAGTAAGGCCCTGTACTCTGCTATGGACATTTTAACGCAACAAACCACTGAATTAAACTAATGGTCATCAGATCCGGCATGGCCAAGAGACATAACACTGCACAGCATATAGCAGCACCAAAGACCAATGAATCTGGACCAATGAACAGCAAATCCTGACACGGCAAAGGTACACAAGTGTGTACAGCAAACTGCACCTCACATGACCACTGGTCCACTGAATTTTAGCATATTAGCAGCAGATCCTGGTGAAGCCAAGGTGCAAAACTCTGCACAGCAAATGGCAGCACCTTAGACCTTCTGACCACCTATGACACCTGCTGTAATGACATAACAATGGAACTATTGAAGCAAGAGTGTCCTGCACATTGATTACAGACAACCAACGCTTTACCTCTAGGATGGGGTTGGACTGGAGGAGTCGGTCTTTGACTCTTTCCACCTCGTTGGAATGTGTGCTACTGGCTGCGATGTACTGTAAGATTTTCTTGGACGCTTCCGTCTTGCCCGCCCCTGACTCCCCCGAGATGAGGACACACTGGTCCACCGACTCCCCCCGCATCGAGCGGTATGCTGCGTCTGCAATGGCATATCTGAAACACAAAGGATCCTCAATAGAATCACAACACTAGTGGCAGGGTGAGTTTACATGTATATGGTTTTATGCCCATATGATTTTTGGGTTTGTTTGCTTGGTCGTTTATTGTTTAACGCTGCACTCCGCAGTGATTCCAGCCAATTGACAGTAGTCTATGAATAATCGACCAGACAATCTGGACCACACAATCCAGTGATTGACATAATGAGCATTGCTCTACACAAATGGGATATGCTGTCATGAAACAACCAAGTCAGCGAGCATGACCACCCAATCCCATAAACTGCCTGGGACTAATTCTAACCAAAACTTCACTGAGCAATGCTGCTTTGAACACCAATATATTAATGTGTACCATATTCACTCTCTGTACATGCATATGTCTGACCTGTAACTGCTGCTACAGAAAATGGACGCCTTTAGAGCACATACTTGACACACCTTAGTATTATTGCTATCTGAATATGTACAATTATTACCAGGATATTAATGTGTACTAGTGTTGGGAATTGGCTGAAATCTCACAATTGATGATTGCTCCATTACCAACGAACAATCATCGAAAAAAATTGGTTAGCATCATTTTTCAGATTTTCCTATCCAGGTTGTTATTGCAGATATGTATAACATGATGCAACTTGCTACTTTAAAGTGATGACTAATATATCATGAACATAAACTTCCCGGAGTCTTCAAGAAATATTCAGTCATGGCTTTTCAGTTAGCAGTGAGTTTTCTAAGAATTAAACACGTTTGAAGGAAATGACAGCTTCTGAGATATGTTCCATTATCTTTGTTTTCAAAGGTAAAACAATAGTTCCAAAATTAATCTGTTGTTTCTGAAAAGTGAAATTGTTTGCTATCATAAAACAATCTTCGAAATTTCAATTAATGGGACCACCACTAATGTGTACCATTAAATGCCAGACCTTTAACAGTTTACTGCTTCATACTGTCATAGCATGTCGTGAACTACTATAAAGCTTTCATAGCAAGTCGAATAACAAATATCGTCGCCAACAGTGTCATAGCATGTCGTAACTATCGTAATAGCAGCGACTGTCTTTCATAACCCAGTCAACTATCGTAATAGCAGCGACTGTCGTCACCAATACGATGCTTTAGTACACATGCTTGACACTCATTAGTATTATTGCTATTTGAATATGTACAGCTATTTACCAATATATGACTGTGTACTATATATTCATATTCACTGTTTGTAAATGTATATGCCAAGGGATGAATAAAAAGAATTTGAAAAAAAATAATGCTGCTTTGAACGGTATTTCATTATATCGCCTTGGATACAAGGATAATAAATATCAAGGTGAGGTGAGGTGAGGTGAAATGGGGTTTGAACGTCACGATGATTTTTTGTAGAATATTTCGTATTGTATATGATTGATGTTTGCATGCGTTGTGTATGTGTATGTGTATGCTGCTTGTACTAGCCCAGACTTCAGCTGGTTTTATAGTGCTAGCCCACTGAGATACCATGCCGCAGTGAAGCATGAATACCCCACTCAGACACATTATAATGATAACCATTGAGAAAGCTTATGGTGCTTACCAGACCAAATATGGAAATCTGTAATGAGTTCAGTAGCTGAGTAAATCACACTGAAGGGCATTACATAATTAACCTTACTTTTCTCTTATAACATATTGACTACATCTTAAATTGTGTCCTTAGGCCAGACCAATTATATTTCTTGTTTTACGGATCCGCCGGTCGTATTTTTTCAAGAATAAGAAAAAAAATAAAAATTAATTTTCCCGCTCAAAAAATAATCCTTTTGTTTATTGGCCAAAAATGTAAACTTACAAGAAAACTTCTTTTTGATTGATTTTTGCCCCATATACACTTCATAAATTCCCCAAAGTTTAATATTTTTAGAATTTAAAAGGAATATTACTTTGATTGATCATTTTATTTTATTTTTTTTCCCTCCAGCCTTTAGGTTTTCTGAGGACAAAAATCCATAAAACAAGAAATAAATTGGTCTGGCCTTAGGGACTTTCAAGTTCAAGACAAACTAAATCTAGAAATGTGTCCGCAAAGAAGCAAGTGACAAAGTTAACCAAGCCCAATGACTATTGTAATACTATGTCTATTCTCAGATACTCTTCTCTTTTGCTGTTGCTCTTTTAATTCCATACTCAAATATACCTGTCAATGTGTCATTGTCTGTGTAACTGAAGCACCCTGCAAATCATCCTTACCAGTTGAGAATGCTATAAAACAGCTGAATCTATAAATAATTCTAAAATACACGCTTTTTCAATATTTTTTACTGGTTTCATCTCAGATTTGCTTTTTTTCAGACTACTTCCTGCATCTTGGGCATGAGGATTCATGAAACAAGATAAACCACTGAATATTTCCTTGTTTTATATCAGAAAAAAGTTGACTTTTATCCAGACATGTTGACAGAGATTGATAAAGTTAGTTGGTTTGTTGTGTAATGCCGCACTCAGCAATCATCCAGCTATGTGGTGGCTGTCTGTGAATAATCCAGTCTGGACCAGACAATCCAGTGATCAGCATTATGAACACTGATCTATGCAATTGGAATACGATGACATGTGTCAACCAAGTCAGAGAGCCTGACCACCCAATCCTGTTAGTCGCCTATTACAACAAGCATGGGTTGCTGAACACCAATTCTAACCCGGATCTTCACAAGTCATATTGATTAATTTCTAAATGACCACAAGCGCCAATCTGATGGCCTGATGGTTAAACCATATCTGCATCACAACGGAGGTCTGGGATCAATTCTCATTCCTTGTCCTGAGATTGCTGCATACTGATGAAAAAAGTGGCGTGAGACCGCTCACTCACTCCTTCGCGAAATGACCATTCTGGAGTGTAATGGTAAGTTAATGACAAGGATTGAGTCTATTTAGCTAGATGATGCAATGCTTAATTAATTCATCAAACAAAAGTCTGCTATGTAATAAGAAGTCATAATTTCCAACCTTCCACATGTGCAAGTGACTTGAACAGCTAGATACTGTTATCTTAACAACTGATTATAGATTGATGACAGTGAACAGGGCTTCTGTTGAAAATCTGAAGACTTTAGAGACTTAATTTAGCGACAAATTAATGGATTTAGTGAGTGAGTGAGTGAGTTTAGTTTTACGCGTTGGCAATGTTATAAAACCAAAAAACTCTGGGAGAGACAATAATTGATCAACAGAGACATCGATTAATGGATCTATGACATATGATATAACATGATAATCCCGGATATTCTCATGACAGGTTCACCTATTCTACATGTGTTCACGGTGGTTCATGTTGATATAACACGTAAAAGGAAATTCTCATGACAGGTTCACTCACATGTGTGGTGGGTGTGGATAAAGTCATCGTTGTAGATGTCCAGTTGGTGATACGGGTTGACGGACACCAATACAGGCCCAATATATGTCTGCAATATAAAAAGCAGAAAAACATATAAAAAAAACATACTTTTACCATGTGGACCTGCACTTGTCTTTTAAGTGAGTGCGTGAGTGAGACAGGTTTTACACCGCTTTTATATATTCCAGCAATATCATGGCTAGGGACACCAGAAATGGGCTTCACATATTGGACGAAATGCGAGAAATCGAACCTGGGTCTTCGGCATGAGGAGCGAACGCTTTAACCACAGAGCTACCCCACCGCCCCTCAGTTTGCCTTTGTAATCAGAACAGACAAATATTTTCCCAGCATATCAGGATCAGGAACGTTTTCTTTATTATCCTGGTTGTAACTATGTTCCAGGAATCAAATACATTTCTTTATAATTGTTGGCACATTTCCATACACAAAACCGTTAGCAGAGAAGGTAAGTGACATTTATAGGTTACCAGTAATAAAAATGAAATCAGAATTCTTTTCAAATTCAATTTTTAACTATTCAACATTTATTAATATTATTTTCATAAGTTCACAGTAAAGTACCATTTAGAAGTGAAACTGAGACTGGAGGAAATTGTATATGTCACATATCATTTTATTCAACACATTTATACATTTGTTTACAACAAGTGTAGACAGATGTGTGCCAAAGGAAGCATGTTAGTTATGATGTCATATCAATGTGAGCATTCCGTTACATAAACAAAGATACGCATTAAGATCGGGGTTAGAATTGGTTTTCAGAATTGGTCTTCAGCGACTAACGGGATCGGGTGGTCAGGCTCGCTGACTTGGTCGACACATGTCATCATATCCCAAATGTGTAGATCGATGCTCATGCTGTTGACCACTGGATTGTCTGGTCCAGACTTGATTATTTACAGGCCGCTAGCTAGACAACCGCTTTGTCTCTGAATACATATATAAATTGATTGTACAAATAAACCCATTTAAACTGAAAAGGAGCCCCTGAGAGAAATTTAGACTTGTTTCATTTAGGGCTTTAGCACAGGGAAAATAATATGGTCCAGGGACTGTGAGACAGACTAACAGCCGCCATACAGCTGGAGTACTGCTGAGGGCAAGATTAACTAACCAGCCAACAAACAAACAAACAAACAAACAAGGGGCAACAGGTGTCCTCACTTGTACATTTGTACCAAATAATGTAGGTGTGTTTGAGAGTAGGGTACTTAAAATTTAACAAATAACTCATGATTTAATTATGACCATTATAATGTAGTTTTATTCAACACTGACACTACACTTTTGAGAAACATAATAAATCCACAAAAATGACTGACCCAAGAACTAACAAGAAGACAAAGTCATCAATATCCCCCGCAATGGCAAAATACTCTTTATGAATATGTCTACTAGTTATGATTATGTCAAATGTTTTGGAGTGTATACAGCAAAGTGGAAGGAGAGTACTGAAAGGTTTTTAAGATCTGCTCAAGAAAGGAGCACTACCACCAAATTCAGTTGAAGCCTAACTTTTTGCCATGGAAACGCAACAAGATGACAACCTCATAGTCACAGCCTAAGTCATGTTTCAATGGAAACCACAAAAATAAAATTCATATCTGGGTCTTAACCCCCGGAGGCACATCTAGGGATCATGCTTGATATGTGTACCAAGTTTGGTTAAGCTATCACAAATAGTTTAGGAGATATGCTTTGGACAAAGTGTGACAGACGGACAGACGGACGGAACTTGTTTCTATATCCCCCGCAACTTCGTTGTTGCGGGAGATAATTTACAGAGGTCACTCTCAAGAGATAAACCAGACAAACTTGATTCGATTCCGCATCCAACTCTCCATAACTATGAATCTAGACTTGACCTTCACCGGGGTGATGCCTAGATCATACAACACACATCAACAACTGCCAGGAACCCTCTCCTACACAATGTAAACTTAACCTAAATATCTAGAATAGGTCATAGCTTCTTATCAGGGCTTCATTAATCAAACGTGAATCTTGTATCTCAGTGAGAGGAGAATGGCCATGTTTATTTGTCAGTATCTTGGGGTTGCAACATGTGGGACAACCTTGCTGTGGTACAGGTGTTGAAGAATTACTGACATAACAAGGTCAAGGTCAAGTGTGGTAATCGGTATCTGTCGTCATGGTTACTTGAATTATCAAGATCAAGGGAACCTTTTGCAGGGTTTTAAATGATGCGTCATTCCAGCGTATTTGACGCAACAAGTTTGTAAACGACTCTCAAAATATTATCATACGAGTCAAGCTTGACGCAAGTTTTATGGGTGGCCCTCACAATCCAGCTCAATAAAATCGATTTCATAAGCAAAAAATGATATTGCATGATGATAGTTTGACTTTTACAGAGCTGTCAGATTGTTCCAGAGTACTTAGAGGAGACAGTAATCCTGGGTGTTTGAATTGAACAATGCTGTAGTTTCATTTGGTGGTGTGACATACACAGTTACATACTGAGAATGATTAACACAAAGAAATATTAAAATATTGAAAATGACTCCCAAAAATAAATATTGTGAGACATCATGACTCCCATTTTTAAAAGTCTGTGTAAAACTCTGCTTTTGCAAACAACATTTTTAATGACAGTAATATGTCTTGTTAACCTCTAAGAGATATAAGGTGTAACTAATTCTAGACTTAGCTAGTTTAAATTTTTCAACCTGTTGACCTGAGCTATTGAGCCAAAATTCCATCAATGAAAAACCCCACAGAGAAGCCACTCCTGTCTTATCAATGTCCAAACTGGATTCCAGATCAGAGGTAAGGTGAGGTGAAATTACATTCAAGATTCTTGCACAATATGTATGCTCCTGTGAGTGAGTTAGTTTAGCTTTACGCCACTTTTAGCTATATTCCAGCAATATCACAGCAGGGGACACCAAAAAAAAGACATTCGATTCCATGTGGGGAATCGAACCGTGTCTTCAGCGAGACCAGCAAGTGCTTTAACCAACAGGCTAACCCACCGCCCCTGTGAATGAGTGAGAATGAATGTGAGTGAGTGAGTGAGTGTGATTTAACTAACAAACCCACCACCCCTGTGAATGAGTGAGAGTGAGTGAGTGAGTGAGTGAGAGTGATTTAACTAAAAGGCTAACCCACCGCCCCTGTGAATGAGTGAGAATGAGAGTGAGTGTGAATGTGTGAGTGAGTGAGTGAGTGTGATTTAACTAACAGACTAACCCACCGCCCCTGTGAATGAGTGAAAGCGAGCGAGTGAGAGTGATTTAACTAACAGGCTAACCCACCGCCCCTGTGAATGAGTGAGTGAGTGAGTGAGTGTGACTGAGGAAAGGTAGGGCAGGGGATAAGCAGGAAGTTATATACCAACATTACTCCTTGTTTTGTTTGTTGCCTAGCGCCACACTTGGCAATATTCCAGGAACATAATAGCACCCTACAAAAAGTAAGTCTTGACCAGACAAACCAGGAAGTGATATTATGACCAGTGACGAGTGTTGGGTGGATGACTGAGCCTCATCCCCCGTGTAGTTGCCACATTAGACAAGTATAGAAAACTTGGAACTAATTCTAATCCTGAATCCCCACCAGGTCACGACAGCCTGTAAACAACACAGCCCAGGTCACACAGATAGCAGTCAACTAGTCTGTCATACAGACCCTAAAACAAATATATCCAAGACAGCCCATGCAAGTCTAGAATATGTGGCAAGTCTAGATTACCACCGTTGAAAGTCTCTGGGCTCCTTTTCCTTACATTTTATGATTATAATTTAGAAAGCATTTTTTTATTAAAAATACATTGATTAATCTCAAAAACGAGATGTTAGTCTAGCAGTCAATTTGTAGCAAGGGCAACAATCGAGTTTGGACCAGACAATCCAGTGATCAATAGCATGAGCATCAATCTACGCAACTGGGATACGATAACATGTGTCAACCAAGTCAGCGAGCCTGACCACCCGATCCCGTTAGTCACCTCTTACGACAAGCATCGGTTGGTGAATATCAATTCCAACCCGGATCTTCACAGGGCTAATACATGGATGGTTAACATTGTCAAAATTCTTTACGAGAAATCTAAACAAACTGTTTGAAACATTTGCCATAAAAATCTTGTGATGTTTGACCTGAAATGGCCATTAATACATTATAAACAAAGAATATATTGGGAATTCTCTCACATCAAACTAATTATATTTCTGTCCAAAAGTTTATATACAGGACAAAATAAGTTAGGGATATTGGCATATTTATGACTGATATTTTATCAGTGTGTCAATGAATAAATAGATCATTATTCATATTTTCAAAATTTACATATCCCTAACTATTGTTGTCCAGTATATTTATCCTCAAGATAACACAGCAATAGGAGCTTGATTTTTCTCAAATTGAATAGACAAGAATTACAATATATTTATATAAATGTTATTCAGTAATTCCAAGTCCACATTATCGTGATTGTACACAAATTTCTATTATTGTATTTTCTACAACTGAGAAATCATTGGCACAGAATTACGTAACAAGGTCGTGTCACTAGCTGTGAAGTGAGCTTGTTTTTTCTTGTCTAATATTTGACATTCCTGGGGGTCTTAACAGGGTTACGCAATCTTTTTACAGAATCATGTCACTTACGTAGATAAGATTTCCCTGGAACCTTTTCTTCAGGTTCTCATTGAAGGCATCAGAATTGGTAAAATCCTCTAGGAGCACAAAGTCTTGAACACCAACCCTGTCCCGTTTGTGCAACTCGTTCTCCATGATTGTCTTACGACTGTCGCTACGATCTTGCACCTGGCGACCTTGCGATGAGTTGACGCATCAGACAGACCTGATGTCGAGAGACAGCACCGACTACCGTAATCGCTGCACGCCCAGTTCCACGGTGGAGTGTGCAATCAGCTGATCATGTCTGGTTGTTTGAACACCTCTGGTAAGCTGCCTGTACAAACAGAAAACAGGGGTCGGATTGAGGTTCACGAGCGACATTCAACGAGGGGGCCGGTGTCCAGACATAACAGATAATGGGATGTAAATTTCAGCAGAAAAGGAACTAGGAAAAAAGATTAAAACATAAAACAGGATATTATCACTTCTCTGTTTATATAAAAAAAACAATCATAAGAAAAACATAACAAAGTATTTTAGCATTAAAACAATCTTTAACATAAAATTTGTAGTAATGTTTTATTCTTTTTACATTCTTAATTAGTGCAATTAAAAAAAAAAAAAAAAAAAAGGTAAAAAAGAATCCTAACAGGCTGATAAGATATAGCTATGTATATTAGACTAATGTTGACCTTTATTTGAGAACATCTGGGAGCTCATCACAGATGCCTTCAAGGTCATCATCCCTTAAACGGTGGACATTGTCTAAACAATGATAAACTTTGGAGCTAAATTCTTCAGAATGTGAATACTTCATCATTAGTTAGATTCACAACCCCAATATCTCATATGATGTGGCTTAATCCTGACATAACCCCTCATGATAGTAAGTTTCAGTTTTATAGAGGAACAAGTGATATAATATCGTTTCTGTTGGATATGAATATGAAAAACAAGGATATATTCCTCTGGATAAACAACTTCTTAATCATGTATTACAACTGGCAGGGTTTTTTGGAGCAGAATCTTACACTTTTATTGTTTTTGGACTCAAATGGACACTGAAATTTCCATCCAGATGTAATAAAGAAGTTCTTTAGCTCTTGCAAAACTCTGTCCTTGTTCAACCTGACCAATTCTAAATGTCACTTAAATAAGTATAATAAATCTTTATTAAATATCATTTCAGATTGTATGCAATTATAAGCATGACGAAGGGTCCAGTCAGAGCCTTGGTGTTTCCTGCTTTGTTGGGTAGTATTTCAGAAATCTAAATCTTAACTTTTTTTAACAGCGCAAGCACAACTACTCATGACACCACATAACAAGATGTCAAACAATGGTATATATTATCATGGTATATATTATCATGGTATACATTATCATGGTATATATTATCATGGTATACATTATCATGGTATATATTATCATGGTGTACATTATCATGGTATACATTATCATGTCAATGATGAAGTGTAGGCTTGGTTTGTGAATCACTGTCAGAAGCTACATCTGGTAACACAGTCTGTCAGAAATTACACCTTTTTAACAGTCTGTCAACTTGAACAGGACAAGTTCTGGGAACAGATTTAAGAAGCAGGTTTTAACAACCCTTCACAACATTTATCGCTGACTTTGTAAATATCTTGGCTGAAATGAGTAAAGATTTTGACATGACTGACATTACCACCAGAGGACCCCAACAGACAGACATTACTGTCAGGCAAAACCTGTAGGCAGCTCACTGTGGCTATACCTTCAGCAGGCAGCTCACTGTGGCTATACCTTCAGCAGGCAGCTCAGTGTGGCTATACCTACAGCAGGCAGGCAACACCTGTAGGCAGCTCAGTGTGGCTATACCTACAGCAGGCAGGCAACACCTGTAGGCAGCTCTCTGTGGCTATACCTTCAGCAGGCAGGCAGTGTGGCTATACCTACAGCAGGCAGGCAACACCTGTAGGCAGCTCTCTGTGGCTATACCTTCAGCAGGCAGGCAACACCTGTAGGCAGCTCTCTGTGGCTATACCTTCAGCAGGCAGGCAACACCTGTAGGCAGCTCTCTGTGGCTATACCTTCAGCAGGCAGGCAACACCTGTAGGCAGCTCTCTGTGGCTATACCTTCAGCAGGCAGGCAACACCTGTAGGCAGCTCACTGTGGCTATACCTACAGCAGGCAGGCAACACCTGTAGGCAGCTCACTGTGGCTATACTTACAGCAGGTAGGCAACACCTGTAAGCAGCTCACTGTGGCTATACCTTCAGTGTAGGGTTGGTCACTGAACTGTCTATTCATTCAAGTTGTGTGTGACCGAATGTACTGATGAACTTAAGCGTGAGTGAGTGAGTGAGCAATACGTGTACATTAGACCAATGTAGCTACCCTTAGTCTAATATAATAATGAGTGAGTGAGTATGGTTTTACGCCACTTTTAGCAATATTCCAGCAATATCACACTAGGAGACACCAGAAATGCGCTCCACACATTGTACCCATGAGGGGAATCGAACTCAGGTCTTCAAACCTTCAGATGAGCTAACACTTCAACCACTAAGCTACCCATTGCCCCTGGTGAGCTACTCAACGAAAAGATTGCTATCAATAACCTGACCAAGGCTCATGAGCAGTCACCTACCCAACACTCGTCACTGGTCATAATATCACTTCCTGGTTTGTCTGGTCAAGACTTAGTTTTTGTAGGGTGCTATTAACTGGACCAATGTAGCTATCATTTTGTTATCAAAAACCTTTAATATTTTCAAAGACTCTTCTATAGAATACCAATAATATAACACCTCTGGCTATACAAATTTATCCTTGCAGTTTGTTCTTCAAAGCTTTACTTAATGCTACAATGATTTATGGACAATTTTATCACAGCCACTATAAATCAGAGTGACCTGAGTCTCTTAACTCTCTAACAACCGGCCTACGAAACAACCTGATTGTTTGACAATATTCAAGAGTTAACACCATATTGATCAAGTGTAAGAAATATACATTACATTGCGTCACTCCACTCTATCGACATGACACCTATAAGCTATTGACAATGTTAAAATGAAACTGGGGCGGTGGGGGTAGCCTAGTGGTTAAAGTGTTCGCTTGTCACGCCGAAGACCCGGGTTCGATTCCCAACATGGGCACAATGGGTGAAGCCCATTTCTGGCGTCCCCGCTGTGATATTGCTTGAATATTGCTAAATGTGGCATAAAACTAAACTCACTCACTCAAAATGAGACCAAATCTTTCAACTGTTAAAACAAGACAATCTACTGCAAACACCAAAATAAGTTAATTTAGCCAAATATAAGCATGAACCTATACCTTTAGTAAATTGTCATAGTCTGATGTATATATATGGGCATGACAATTTTCATTGAGCTTCAGTAGACCTTTGTAGCTGTTGTAGAGAGACGTAGGCACCTGGTTAAATAGCAATAGGAGTTAGATGTGTGCCTAGCTACAATGAGCCCCCCTTGTCCCAGTACAAGCCTCCTGTCCAGTACTCCACCTGAGTACAATGTACATGATAGGTGTGTTTGGACAACCTACAGTCACGAAGGTCTCGTAAAGGTTGAATATCGACTCAGTGGATATCACTTGCATCAATCAGGTTTGTTACAGGTGTGCAAATGTTTCATTTGAAACCTGTGATTTCTGTACTATGTATAGAGTATGGGAGAAAATTTTTACATTTTGTCGTTTTGATTTTCATCATTTTGAATGTCAAATTCTGAGTATTGGAAAGATGTTGATACATTGAATTGCTCATTTTCAACCGAGCAAAAGGTAAAAAAATCAAAGACCAAATAATTGTCATCATTATAGGTGAGTGATTGCATTTTGTTTTAAGCTAATCTTGAGCCTTGATGGGGTCATTAAATAATTTAGTCGCTATCATCATCATCATCATCACAATCATCATCACCATCACAATCATCCAATATTGGAACTGTTGAACCACACCAGCCTGAGCCATTCTTAACTTCCAGCAGTGTGGTCTATCGGGAATGAGTTGTCTGTCAACCAACACAGAACGCTTTGCTCTTTTTATCATCATCATCATCATCATCATCATCATCAATATCAGCAACAGCAGCAGCTGCACAATCATCATCCTGCCACAGCCCATTTCTGGTGTCCCCTGCTATGATAGTGTGAGAATATTGCTAAGGCCAGACCAATTATATTTCTTGTTTTACGGATCCATCAGTCGCATTTTTTCAAGAGTAAGAAAAAAAATAAAATCCAAAAATATGTTTTTATTGGCCAAAACTGTAAACTTATAAGAAAACTTCTTTTAGATTGTTTTTTGCCCCATATACACTTCATAAATTCCCAAAAGTAAAATACTTTTAGTATTTAGTAGGAATATTACTTTGACTGATCATTTTATTTTTTTATTTTTCCCTCCTGCCTTTAGGTTTTCTGAGGACAAAAATCAGTAAAACAAGAAATAAAATTGGTCTGGCCTAAAAGCAGCATAAAACGGAACTCACTCACTGCCGCAGCACTCAGCAATATTCCTTGTAAATAATCGAGTTTGGACCAGACATTAATTATCCAGTGATCAACAGCATGAGCATCGATCTGTGCAATTGGGAACCAATGACATGTGTCAAACAAGCCACGAGCCTGACCACCCGATCCCCTTTAACTAAGTCGCCTCTTATCACTGCCACAGGAGTTGTCCAGTGGGAATATAAAACCTGAGATCTGACAAATGTCTGTTGTGTGCAACAATGTTCTATGAACAAACTGGCCTTTCGTGACTGTGCAAACATACACCTTGATGATGTATACATATGTCCCCCAGTATTACACACTGCTTGAGGTACTTGAACCACCAAAACAAGAAATACTTCAAATAATAAAATAGCCCACACCAATCAACAATAATCACAAAAAACAAAGTCCAGAGTTTTTTCAGACAACAGTCAAGCTCCTGAATCAGTCAGAGCACAGTTCTATGATTTATGTCCGTGACTGAGAAGGAAGTGTGGGTTCAAAGGGTAACATTACAAAAAACAGGCTCTCCCGATACTACAGATGTATTACTACTTTCTTTGATCTAACCTTTAATGTAAATCATGTGCACTGAAGTAGTTATAAAGCAGTTGTCGGTCTAGAAGTTGTTGAGGCGTCACCTTTATAACATGCACTTGGCTAGATGCTAACAGACTTTACATTTAGCTGGCCATCTGGTCTCTGATCACATACTAAATAAAACATTTGCTCTCATTCCATTCTTGTTCAGGGATGGAAATAACTTTAAAATTGCTAGTGTACTTTGGTACAGTGGCACATGTAAAATCACTTGCCCTGATAATTTT